GCGAAAATATTTCAATATCTAGGCACAGGTAACAGTTTTCTGAGGACAAGCTTGGAATAACAAGAATTGACAAGCTGGGTGGCATGAAATTAAAAAAACAAAACAAAACAAAACAAAAAAAAACCCTATGTATAGCAAGGAAAAGAGTAGAGTGTAGAAACAGCCAATAGGAGGAAAAGTTGATGCCATTAGCATGACTGGTGGGCTTAGTATACCTAATATGTAAAGAACTCAGATCACCAAACACCAAAAGAGTAAATAACCCAGTCAGTAAATAGGCAAGTGAATCGAACAGTTCAAAAAAGAAGTACTGGCTTCTTGGTCCACTGAGATCTTAGCAAGCAAGATCATTTGCTGCCACAAAATTATCTACCACCATACCACCATGATAGACCGGATCCCTTAAACCAGGAGCCAGAATTAACATCTGCTTTAAGTTGCTTCTTTTAAGATAGTCACAGAAACAAGGAAATAACTAATGTAGATATCAGTATCAAGAAGTGGGACTACTGTTGGCCAAAAAAAAAAAAAAACCCCAAAAAACCCTGATCATGTGACTCGTAAGCCTTATATACTAGTTTGTTGAAAGAATGCAAAAGAGTTTGGACCTGCAGGCTAGTGAACGCTGTAAGCAGTTCTGGATGGGCCTTCCTGGTTGAATTCAGAAGCCCAGAATACCAAGAGACATGGGCAGTGAAAACTAGGGGAATTAGGCCAGGGGCTGTTTGTATTATGATAACAGCTACTTTCTGCTTGAGCAAAGCTGATTTCAGAAGTAACCCCTAATTACCTCACCGCAGACACTTCTTTTTGCAACGAGACCATTTCAGTAAACTGCAACCTTTCAAAATGCAAAGAGCAACCAATTCATGGGATGCCTAGCCCCAGTGGGTACATGTACCATACAGCTCTTGTACCTAAGGTTCAAGGAAGGATCTTAAGAGCCAAAGGACCCCAAAAGCTGCTATGAGATTGTGTCTCCTAAAAATAACAGCAAAACCTGCACCATGACACCTCAACAGGGCCTTAACTAGGAACAACACTAATTAGACAGGCTAAAGTGGAAAGGCAAAATCTCATGGGACCCTACCCCTAGAGAAAGAACGATAGAGGGATGCTGAGAGCAGGGGAATTAGGATACATCTCTTCATTGGTATTCTATATCAGGTGATCAGTCTTGCAGTCATTACTACAAGTAATATTAAATGGGCTTGTCTGGTTGTGTTTGTATATTGTGTTTATATATGTATGTAGCAGTAAAAGAAAAAGGTCCTGATTTGAGGGCACATGGAGGAATGGGAGGGGGGAAATGATGTCATTATATAGTAGTTAAAAAAATAGGTGGAGAGTAATCAGAGATGATACCTGCTATTGACCCTTGCCTCCACATGCCACACTCATGCAAACTTACACCACACAAAGAAAGGCTGGCTCTGGTGAGTGGACAGGGTAAAGAAGGATTATGTATTGTTAGCCTTGCCATTGTGGAAGTCAGTATGGAAGATCTTAAAAAACAAAAAAACAAAAAAACGAAACAAAAACAAAACAAGACAAAAAAACCCAAAAAACCCTACTGTACAACTCCTGGGTAGACCATCAAAATCAGTAGTGATACTTGCAGTGCCCCGTTACTGGAAATACTTGCTGTAGCCACTTTACAGGATCAGCTTATGGGTTCATCAGTGGATGAATGGTATTTATATAAAGGAATAAGTTATTCAGCAATAGAGATGAACAAAATTCTATCATTTCTAAGAAGATGGGTGGAACCAAAGATTATATGTTAAGTGAAGTAAACGAGACTCAGAAAGAAATTATGGCTGGTTTCCTGTCTTACTCACAGTCTATGTTGAAAAACCAAGCCTGAAAGTATCTGGGGAAAGGAAGGAGAGTAGCAAGTATATAGAGGGAGGGAAATGGAGTGAATATGATCAGATTATACATTATGCATGTATGAAATGTCAGTGAAATCTACAGTTAACAAGTCAAAAATGGATTTTGATGGTTATATATAGACTATATAAATGTATTTGATAATCTTACTTTGCAATGCAGGAACTTCATAATTTTATAGCCTTTATTATAAGTGATATGTAAAACTTTTTGCTTTATTTGAATGGTATAAATAATTAGATTTCATATTCCATGTGTTATGTCTTTTGCAGTGAAATTAGTTTTGTTTTTAATTTTTTTGTGGGGGTGGGAGGTGAATTTCTTGGTGTAGCCTTGGCTGTCCTGGGACTCTTTGTAGACCAGGCTGGCCTAGAACTTACAGAGAGCTACCAGCTTCTGCTTCCCAAGTACTGGGATTAAAGATGTGAGCCAATATCACCTGGTTTGAAATTTGGGTTTTTGATAATCCTAAGTATAGAATATAGAATTATGATTTTGATGTAAATTAGATACCATGAATATAAAGTAAAAAGATTGATCAGAACAGATGTGGTTTATATCTGTGTTCATAAGCTATTGAGATAATGAAGTTTTAATTCCCACTTGGGTTAAATTCCGTCAGTGTTCCACTGAAATTCAAAAAAGTTCAGGACAGTTGAACAGGACAAATGTCTTTTAAAGGTATTGTAGTGACAGCCGAGTGGTGGTGGTGCATGACTTTCATCCCGCAGAGGGAGACAGACAGCCGGGACTGCCTAAGAGAAGAAGCCTTATGTCTTCTTTAATCCCAGCTCTTGGGAGGCAGATGCAGGCAGATCTCTATGAGTTCAAAGTCAGATGTTTTATGTTCATTTTTATTCCATTTTGCTGGAATCTTTCTTTGATGCAACTGTTTCCCACCTTGGGTTCTTTCTTTGGGATCTGCTGGCCTGGGCTATCCTTTTCCAAATAGTCACGAAGTATGCTTACATTCACTTCTGATCCTTGTAAGAATTCAGCCACCATGTAATAGGAGCCGATCTTGTTTACCTCTGGAAGAATATAAGTTTTGCAAAGAAGTTTTCATAAAAATTCTCATGTACCATTAAAGTGCCCCTCTCCCCTGATTATAACTAACTTCAGGTTTTGCTTAAAAATGGAAATAGAATTATAAGAAAAATTGATTTGTAATTATTGAGTAGGAAGTTACTTAGCAACAAAGCAGGCATTTATGATCTTGGAACTTTTATACATCAGGGATTTAGGATTTGGTTAGCTGGCTATTTCTGTCTCTCGTGGGATTGTGGTCAGATGCTGTTGGAAATACAGCTTAGGTTGTTCTCTTGGGACTTCAGAATCTGTTTCCAGGCCTATTTATTTACATGGACTGTTTGCAAGTTCCTTTCTAGCCATTGCCTAGTGCCCTCATTTCATTGTTCTGGGATAGTCTCCATGATACTGGACATCGAATATTCAGATGCTAAAGGTGACCGGGGGGGGGGGGAGCAAGGGTGGGGCCACAATGCCTTTTTCATCCCTAGCCCAAAAGTCAGACACGCTATAATGTGTGCCCTGTTCAGTTTATAAGCAGGTCTTTAAACTGACCTGTTCTCAGTGGGGAGAGGGTTAGGTGGTAACTTCAAAGGGAGGGATGAAGAGCTGGTGGGTGTTATTTTAAAATCACCACAGTGATGTAGACTGAGAATTCCTTACAGCAGAGAAAATGAATGTATTTTTGGTATTATGTATATGTTTATGTGAGTGTGTGCCCATTGCATATGGAGCTGAAGGTCTGTGGTGATTCTCTTTCCACCTTATGTTTTATTTTTAGTTTTTGAGACAGGGTCTCTCCCAGACTGGCCCCAGCTACAGTGATCTGTCTGTGTCTGTCCCCACAGTGCTGCAGTTCAAGTATGCCATGGCAGCCTGTGTTTTATTTCTTTTATGTGGGTGCTAGATATCTGAACTTAGCTCCTCATGCTTGCGCAGCAGGCCCTTTGTGGATTGAGCCGTCTTGTTTTGTTTTTAGATGTGAATCTCTATGTAGTCAGTCCTAGGCAGACCTTGTACTCAAGAGATCCACCTGCTTTTGCCTCTTGAATGAATGTTGGGACTAAAGGCATGCAACACTATACCTAGCTAATCTCTTGTAACTTTGATCTCTTAATATCATATATTTAAAAATTACTGTTAAATTTTTGTATCATCAGTATCTTTAAAGAAAACCTTACTTACATTGTTCGTATGAAATAGGTAGTTGTTTTTGTGCTAAGCCTTCACATTAAATTTAAGCTAGGTATCTGTTTCTAGGATTTTATTGAGTGGATATTAGAAGGATCCTGGAAGCAAAGGCATGGGTATTGGAATTTGAAGAATTTAGAGGCTTTGTGGTTTTTGAAAAATAAGCTGGGGAGGATAGATTGTATAATGTCAGCCAAGGCAACTGACTTGGGTTGCAACTAAGGCTGTTGAAAAGTAAAGCTACAGAGGGTTTTTACAGAAAATAATGTGGGAGGTAGGTAGGAGTTTGTGGTAGTAACACTGGGCATTTAGAGAAATGGTGAGTTGCTATCTGGGTTCTGGGCATTTCATTGTAAAGGGGGGGGTCCTCCATAGTGGTTAAAAGTATGAGCTTTAGAGTGGAATATTTTAGTTTTAAGTATTGACTCATTTACTTACTTGATTTAACAGTCTTAGGAAACCTGCTTTGCTTTTTCCCCACTCAGTTTTTCAGTAAATGAGAGCTTTCTGTGTAATAGAGCTGTCCTAGTTTATGGAACAGAATTGAGTTCATTCTGTTCCATAAACTAGCTATTGCTATTATTTTGTTGTTTTATCTGTAAAGTGATACTTAATTAAATAACATTTTATTTATGTGCTCTTAGTCACAAATCCATCTCTCCAGCCCCAGTGACGTGCTTTTAAGAAACTATGTTTTTAAGAAGTGATGCAGCATGTTAAATATATTAATATAAGGAAAATATGTTCATTCATGGCCTTTCATGAGCCTACTGTTTGTGTGTGTGTGTATTCAATTATATGTCATATTGCAAGTTTTAACTCAGTTATAGACTGTGAAATTATTTATGGGTAAGTTTCATTCAGCATTATGTTTTTTTTTCCTTTAGCTGTGATGCTGATCCATCAGCCCTAGCAAAATATGTTTTGGCTCTGGTAAAGAAAGACAAAAGTGAAAAGGAATTAAAGGCATTATGTATTGATCAGCTCGATGTATTTCTACAGAAAGGTAATAAATACCTTTGGTTTTAAAATACTATTTGAGTAAGTTATTTAAAATAAAATTATGTACAGAATATTAAAGGAATTTAGCCCTTAGTTGCAAAAAAGCTTTTAGCTGTAACAATGTTGAATACACATGTTAATGATTATATAAATGGCTTGTTTCCGCAATATCTTTTATCCTTATTTTGTTGCATAGATTAGCATAGTAAGGAAACGACTGCCTATTTTAGACAACACTAAAGAAACTTCTTGGAATGTTGTATAGGGCATGTTTTTTACCTTTGTTGTACTTTTCCTCCATCTAGCTAATGGCTAATTTTTGTGTCTATATATTGGAGAATTCTCTCTCTCTCTCTCCCTCCCTCTCTCCCTTCTTTCCTCCCTCCCTCTCTCCCTTCTTTCCTCCCTCCCTCTCTCTCATTCCTGGATGGAAGCAGCTGGCTAAGAGGCTTTTGTCATTCTTGTCTTGAAACGTGAATGAATCATTGTCATGGAACTTGTACTATGATACACTGCTTGGCAAGCTATTGGTCAAGATGTTAAGAAATGTGTAGAATTGGAGAATTAAAGTCTTATTAAATATTTTTTGTTCTGTGCATTTTTGGTTTTATTTGTAGAGACACAAATATTTGTGGAAAAACTTTTTGATGCTGTGAATACAAAGAGTTATCTACCTCCTCCAGAGCAGCCATCATCAGGAAGCCTGAAAGTAGACTTTCTTCAGCACCAAGAAAAAGATATAAAAAAAGAAGAGGTGAGAATTTGTTATATTGTATTTATTCCTTAAGTTCCTAGAAGGAATAATCAGTTGAATTTTCTTTTCTTTTAGGAGTCCTAAATACCTCTTCCTAAGTTCAGGAACTTCTCTAGGAATATTTTAGTGAGCTTAGAATTTAGTTGTAGTCATGGCTGTGATTTAGTTAATGCAAAAGAATTAAAAGTTGCAAAGAAAAAGGTTTGAGAGGAAATACGGTGGAAAACGAGTATGGGCATCTAGACTCAGTGGGGGTCACATGCAGTGTGCTTATTAATTCCCCCAAAATGAGTTGTGGCAGCAGCATTTGTTATAAGGAAGAAGTCAGACTTAGTGCTCACTTTTTTGGAAAAAAAAATTTTTTTTTTTCATTCTGTTTGGGTGTGTGTGGACCATGTATGTGCCCAGTACACGTAAGCCTATACTTGGATTGCCCCGAACTGGGGTTATAGATGGTTGTGAGCCACCATGTAAGTTCTGGGAATTGAACCCGAGTCCTCTGTAAGAGCAGCAGTGCTCCGTTTTTATTTGGAGTGGGCACCTTCTACTGACATAGAACAGAATTCCAGACTCCCAAGAGAAAAGCAAGTGCTGGCAGAAACCATTGTGTTTTCACAAACAAGTACAGCGAGCTGTTCTTACCAGGGCACCATAGGCACCAAAGTTTGCAGCAGGTGGCTGAGGACCAGTCTTGTAAGTAGCCCCTTTTAAAGCTTAGCATTCCCGGTCTGCTCTGAGCTCTTCTGCACTGTCGTGGAGTCTTCTAGTTGTATTCTTTGGGATGGTAGAAAATTTGTGTTTTGCTCTTCATATGTTTATTCAGAGAATAAAGTCAAGGTAGTTAATAGGAATTTTCACAAAGCAATAGAAATGACTGCATACTTCAAAATTTTTGGAAGTTTTAAACTGTATTTTATAATTTGTGTTTACATTTGCTCAGTAACCTCAATTATTTAGATTTTCTCAGTTTGACAAAAATTAAAATTACTGGGGATGGTTGTCCCATAGGAAACAGTAGTTGGCATTAATGCCATAATGCTTTTTTTTGGTATTCAGCTAGTTTTAGTTTGAGTGAGTGTTGGTTTTGGTTTTCTTGGGGCAGGAACTAGCTGTTCCTAGCTTGACTGAAACTGGAAGTGTATACTAGGGTGATCTCCAGTGCATTGATAATTCTCTTGGTTCTGCCTCTTACTGCAGTCATATGTCACCATACTTGACCCAGTCTTTCCTTTAAATTTTATTGTTAATGGTGTCCATGCTTGTGTGTCTGTGAGTGCCAGTGCCCACGGTCAGATCTGAAGTTACAGGTGGCTCCGAGTTGTCTGGCAGGATACGGGGAACCAGGCTCAAGTCCTCTGTACAAGAGCAGTGTATGCTCTTCCCCACTGAGCCACCTCTTCAGCTCCTACATACCAGCCAGTCTTACTACAATCCATGATGTTGAAAATGTTAATTTCCTGAGCTTAGTTCAATTTAGCTGTGAAATGGAAATGTTACAGGGTTATAATGAAGAACAAGTAAAATAATGTATGTACAGCAGTTGATATAATAATTGGCACATGGCAAGTTTCAATGATAGTGCCGTTACTATTGGGAGATCCTTGTACTGTGGGAGAAGTAGGTGTGGCTTTTGATTTTTTTTTCCCCTTCCTGCTAATTGTTTTTAGATAAATAATACAGCTTATTGTATAATGATAGATATATAATAATGTGCAGTAATTCTCAAAATTATTTTTACTCTCTTTATATGACTGTATATATTTTACACACATGCACACACACCATCCAATTTAGTTTTATCTTCAGGAGAGGATCATAATATACTCTTACAATTGTTTTGTATTGCCTGACAGTATAGTAGATGAAATGTAAGGAAGAAACCATTGTGTACTGATCATCACTTTGCCCACATAGAGACATAAAAATGATTAAGTTTTTGCCTGCCGGTAAAAGTTTGGGCTGCTTCTAGTTAATTTCGTGTACTTAAATGTCCATGTTTACATACACACATACTTATGGGAAGGGAGAGAGTGTGAGGATGAGATCAAGCAGTACCCGACATTCTGTGTCAGCTTCTGACATATCTGCAAGTATAGGCACATGCCACTACAGCTCGCTTTAAATCATATTTTAATTCTCAAGAACTCTTGAGTTTACGCTGGGCCCTTATCAAATACATGATGATGGTAAAGGCTTAGTATCCTATCTGTTGCTAAAGTTGTTATTTGTAATGTTTTTCTCAACATTTTATGGCAGGTGTTTGTAGATGAGTTTTTAGAATTATCAAAATTGCCACATGGTGTGGAAACTCCATGTTTCTGGCTGGGCATGTATTATGGTGTGTGTGTATGTATATGTGTATGAGTGTATGTATGTATGCATGTATGTAAGTATGTATGTAAAATACCTTGCTGTGAATGTTTGTAGGATGGAATGTTACTTGTTTTTCTTGAAAGAATACATTGTGGCAAATAGGAGGGAAGTGTACCAGGAGATTTGGATATCCCAAGCCTTATAAAACCCACATTTGAGGCTGAGCTAGAAGGGCTTTAAGTTTCAGGTCAGCCTTGGCTATATAGTGAGTCTAAAAGTCCTAAATAAAAGTGCATCTGATAGACTTTGTTAGTACTTGCTTTCTGTATGGATTGCCAAGAGAGTTTGAAGTGAGTAGGAAGAGAAAAAATTGATGGGGGTGCAAATTGTTGAAAACAGCCTTTTCTCAGGCTAGGCTTTTGGTAGGTTTCTGTTTAATTCATGTGGCATACATTTCATACCAGTGGGCTTTTCTGGGTGCTGGAAAGGCTGACATAAATTTGGATGTGTATACTCATAGATTGTATCAGATTTCTTTATGTCCTTACTTAAAATACACAATCTTCAAATAACTGGCTTATTTACAGAATCTATTATCAATATCCTGAATTTGTCTGACTTCTAAATTCTTTCTAATCACCTACTAATGTCCTGTGGAATCAGTGTTGTGAGAAGTATTGTTTGGATGGTGTAGTAATGACTAAAGGGATGGATATTCCTGTAATTGCTTTCTTGTAGCTATAAAATGTGAATAAGAGTCTTATTTTCTATTATTATTGGTATGTTGTACTAAAAAAGTTTCATTTCATGTTATTTTCTCATGTGCTCTTTTATGACTCGATTAGTACTAGTGTGTTCTGTGTGCTCTGATGTGCGACCAAGCCCATGAAATAGAAGCATGACTGTACATTAGACTTCTGAAATAAGGAGAAAATTGTGTTAAAATGAAGACATTTGCCTAAAATGTCTTTTTGTCACTAAGGGTTTATGACTTTACTATTCACTTTAATTTTTTGACAGTTATAGGTTATGGGTTAAAGGGTTGTATTTGGTAGAGAAATGAATTTTCCTTGAATATTTGTGATAATAATTAAAATAGTAACATGACAAAGAAATGCTGTCAGTAAAGTGTCTATTTTTTTTTTCTTTTAATATTAGCTCACAAAGGAGGAAGAGCGAGAGAAAAAGTTTTCCAGAAGGCTGAATCATAGCCCTCCCCAGTCCAGCTCCCGATACAGAGACAATAGGTGACTTACGGAGACACTCTTATGTTTATATTTCCTTCTCTTTAGATTGACTATATTTCTCATAGGGGCAAGTAGCATTTATTATATTTTCTTTGTTCTCTTTTTCCCCCTTTGTGAAATAGGCCCTTCCCAATTAGGTGGCGGGCGCACCCTCAGGCAGTCCCGCCTCTGCCTCTTGGGTGCTAGGGTTGTGTTGCAGGCGTGTGCCACCGTTAGTCTCAGCACTGCTACTCTTTTAGTGCTTCAGGAAAATAAAGCTAGGGCCTTTTCTACCAGGGACATGTAGGTCCAATGTATGTGCTAGGGGTGAGATTGAGAGCAGTGCTTTGTATATCAGTTGCTGTTAATACTGCTCTTCTTAACTTCAGATCCAGTGGCTCTTAATGAGGGATTTTATTTGGGGCTTGAGGTTTTTTTTTTGGTGGGGGTATTGAAAGTTCTCTTTACCATGTTTATTTTCCTGTTATGGTTTCAAAAGTGTTAGGAGTATGATACAAGTGATACTTGCAAATGTCATTGTAAATATATACTATTTATAATATAAGATGCATGCAGATGTCTGTCCTCTAGATACATAATTGAATATTGTATATGAGACTAAGAATTAAGAAACGAGTTGATTTTCTTTTCAAAAGCATTTAGAATAAATAATCTCAGAGTTTGCAGTTTTTTGAAGTTGCCTGTGTTTATATTATGACAGTGACACAACTTACTTATTCATATGTGTTGATAAATTTTTAGAAGCCGTGATGAGAGGAAAAAGGATGATCGTTCTCGAAAAAGAGATTATGACCGAAACCCTCCTCGAAGAGATTCATACAGAGACCGGTATAACAGAAGGCGAGGGAGAAGTCGCAGTTACAGCAGGAGTCGGAGTCGAAGTTGGAGTAAAGAGAGGCTTCGTGACAGGGATAGAGATAGGAGCAGGACCAGGAGCAGAAGCAGGACACGGAGCCGGGGTTAGTGGTCCCTGTATTTGTGATTTTGCTGCAGTTCTTTGCTGTGAAAACCCTTCCATGTGGCTCAGCGTCTTGTCTTTTATCTTTCCTGTCGGCCTGCCTCTGCCTCCCAAGTGCTGGGATTGAAGGCTTGTGCCATCACTGCCCTGCCCAGACTCCTACTCTGATTTTTGAGAATGCCTCTTTTTTTTTTTTTTTCCCTTTCTTTTGGATACAGGTTCTCACTGTATAGACCTGACTAGCTCAGAACTGTCCTCAAACATCCAGAGATCTGCATGCCTTTGCCTCCTGGCTACTGGGATAAAAGACATTCTCCTCCATGGTTGGCTTCTGGGAATGCTGTTTTAAAAACTTTATCATTGTTTATTTTTGTTTTTATTCAAGACAAAGTCTCACTATATAGTTCTGGCTGTCCTGGAACACACTTTTACATAGAACAGGTTGAATTTTGAACTTAACCTGCCTTTGTCTTCCAGGAGCTGGGATTAAAAGTGTGCTTGTGCACATTCTTTAAAATTTTCTATAAAGGATTTTTATTTTATGTAAATTGGCTGATCTTGACATAATGTATATTTATTGAGCAGCTTTGTTTTTAAAAATACTTCTTGGTAGTTTCATGGGTAAATACAATATGTTGGTACTTTTATACTCCCAACTCCTGCCACATCTATTGCCCTCACTTTTCCAACTTGATGTCTTTTTAATATTTTAAAATAACCCATCAAGTCAAATTAGTGCTGCCTGGGTGTGCATTAGTCTACATCACCATCCATTGTAGTGCGGCGAACTTACTATAGGCCTATAGGCCGTGCTACCTAAGTAAGCTGACTCCCAGCCCCTGCAGCTGGCATTGGCAGCTGATAGCTCCTGGGCTAAGAGTGGGGTCTTCTGAGTCTCTGTTCTCTCCGTGCTAGAGATGGCCTGCTCTGCAGGCACCCACATTAGCTGTGAGTTCATGAACACAATGGCCTTACCATGCCTAGAAGGCATTATTTGACATTAGTCTCCCTTGTTTTCTGGCTCTTGACAATTTCTTTGAACTGTGGCTCTACAGTCCTTCTGTCTCCTCCTCAAATGCTTGGAAAAGGCTGTGACATAGCTGTCCCATGTAGGACTGAGCAGTCCAGTTACTTATTTTCTGTACTTTGACAGTGAGTTATGAAGTAACTTTTAAAAGGAGAATATTTGTGCCCAATTTGAACTATTTTATATGTTTAGCAAAAACTGTTTTCAAGATCTATTTTTTTTTTTTAAGAATATAGTTTTATAAGTCATTTCTATTTTATTTTAGAAAGGGATCTAGTGAAACCTAAATATGACCTGGACAGAACAGATCCATTAGAAAATAATTACACACCAGTCTCTTCGGTGTCTAACATCTCATCTGGCCACTACCCTGTGCCTACTTTGAGCAGCACCATAACTGTAATCGCTCCTACTCACCATGGTAATAACACTACTGAAAGTTGGTCTGAATTCCATGAAGACCAAGTGGATCACAACTCTTACGTGAGGCCGCCAATGCCCAAGAAACGTTGTAGAGACTATGATGGTGAGTCACTCAACTGTCTTATCATGGGTTGTTTGTATTTTCACCTAATTTACTTTGTTTTTATGTATTTTATAGGCAGACATTTGTATTTTTACCTAAACTATTTGTTTAGATTGTATAATTCAAAATGAAGGAGTTACCTATGAATATTAGAAAAGATAGATTGGCTTTTATCACTTTATGAATTTCATAATATCTTCTACTAGTTCACTGCTATTAACAATTTGGATTGCTTATAATATTGTTGAGGTTTACCAAAAAAAAATTTGAGTTACTTTTAATGAATCTGCTCACTTTTGAACATTTTTGGCCAAATCATTCTTTAAAAAAATCAACGATTATTAGAATATATATATATATATATATATATATATATATATATAATATATATATATATACACACACACACATATATATATGTATATATATATATACACACACATATATACATATATGGGACCTATAAAGTAAACACATCCCATGTACAATTTTTCAAAGAGAATCAAAGGCTTTTAAGGATTTACTATAAAAGATTATGTTTAGTATTAAAAGCATAGTTTGCAGTATGGTTTTAGTGTAAAACGAGATTTCAGTAATAGGTGTGTTATTTAATTATAAATATTTGAGACAAGTTGTATGTAAGATGATATTATATTACTTCATATGCTTATTTGCTGTTTGTTAGCTCAGAGATAATTGTATTTCCAGAGTTTTTCACATTTATTTCTAATAACCCTTACAGAAAAGGGGTTTTGTATGAGAGGAGATATGTGTCCTTTTGATCATGGAAGTGACCCAGTAGTGGTAGAAGATGTGAACCTACCTGGAATGTTGCCTTTCCCGGCACAGCCGCCTGTTGTTGAAGGACCACCTCCTCCTGGACTGCCTCCACCACCTCCAATTCTTACACCCCCACCTGTGAATCTCAGACCCCCAGTTCCACCTCCAGGTCCATTGCCACCCAGCCTGCCACCTGTCACAGGTCAGCAGGTCACGTTGTTTTCTGGTATTTATTATTAGCTCACTTACAGTCTTTTTATTAAACTAATAATCTCATGCTCGTTTTTGTTAACAATTTCTAATGTAAACCCACACATGGCTGGTAGAAATCAAGTGTCGTGAACAGTTCAGCCTTTAGTGATTTGTAAAAGCCTATGACTTACGTACGTTATGATAATACTTCCTCTGCTTATAGTCCTTCATAGTTTACAGAAAAGCCTGCTTTGGAATAGATTAAAAAAAAAGAAGATTTTTCATAAAAAGTTAACTTACTTAAAGAGCTTGCTCTTTATAGAAAACATTTTAGTTGATAAAAGAGAGCATTAGGTTTGAATGTATAGTAAATATTTCATTTGTTTGCTTTCAGCTGATATTTCTTATTCTTTGGTTTTGACAGGACCACCTCCTCCACTCCCTCCTCTACAGCCATCTGGCATGGATGCGCCACCCAACTCTGCAACCAGCTCTGTCCCTACAGTAGTAACAACTGGCATTCATCACCAGCCTCCTCCTGCTCCCCCTTCCCTTTTTACTGCAGGTGCAGTTTTGGTCCCCTCTAAATTAATCACTATAATTTTAAAGCAGAGCTATAAACATCTAGTGAGTTAAAAATACTGGACATGTCTATTAATGATAAGTTATATGCTTTACTTTTTGTATTATCAATGTTTAAAAGTTATCAAGTAGTTTTCTTTTTATATAATTGTTGTGTAATTACAGTTTTTGTGTTACCAGATACATACGATACAGATGGCTACAATCCTGAAGCACCAAGCATAACAAACACTTCCAGACCTATGTATAGACACAGAGTGCATGCACAAAGGCCTAACTTGATAGGACTGACGTCAGGGGATATGGATTTGCCACCCAGAGGTATTATGATCAATCTTTTCTTATTTCACAATGTTAATAGTGGGAAAAAGGATGGGGTGTAGCTTAGTAGCAGGATGCTTGCTTATCATGCACAAAGCTCTACACTGATCTGTAGCAAAACAAACAAATGACAGAGAAAGGAGAAAACATAATAAGGGAAGCTGATGGTTTGCTTACCTGGTTCTCTGGTCTGTTATCAGTTCCATTTTATGAAATTCCCCCAAAGTATGTGTTTCAGATAACTTGTTTGTTTGTTACATTTTGTTTTATTTGTAATCTCTCTGCTTCACTTAAACAAGAGATCTTCAACCTGTGTGTTGTGACCCCTTTGACAACCTCTATCTCCAGAAGTATTTATGTCATAATTCATAACGGGCAAAATTAGTTACGAAGTTACCATATAATTTTATGGTTGGGGGTCCCCATAATAGGAGGAACTATTAAAGAGTCACAGCGCTAGGAGTGAGAACCACTGATGAGTGTATGATAGAATTCTTGAAGGCTATCCTGGTTTGGATAATTAAATTAATTACCCAAAACTTGTGCTCTATTGCATTTTTTTTTTTTTTGTACACTTGACATGTTAAAATTTTATACTTTTTTCAGCATAAGGAAATATGGGCTAGCAGTAAATTCACGTTCTAAATTAGGAGAGACATTTTTACCTAAATTATAAAAAAACTAGAGTTTAGTTTGAGTCAGGCCAGCAAGAGTTCTTTACTAGCTTCCCACTGTGGTGGCAGTTCAGTTTGAAACAGTGTAGTGACAGATAAATAATAAAGGAGACGAAAGATTGTTAGACAAAATATTATGGAGGTAAAAATAGGTTTTTTATTTTAGTCATGTCATTTGAAATTTGCATTTCAATTTTTTTCTTGCTGTTGTAAGTATAATAAAATATGAAGACTTTTCAGTTGCATATAAAAGTCCAACTTAACTGTACCTATGTGGATTTAGGATTTCTTATAATTTGAGGGTTTGTGTTTATTGTAACCTATCAGATTCTGAGTATCTTCCTTCTATATTTGAAAAGCATGTTGTGGCTGGATATTAAGAACATTCTAATTCAAATTTATGTCACAGAATCTGTTCATATGTTTACCCTCTTTGAGAGCCTTAATGTGTATCTATCGCTACACTGTTAAATTCTCCCTAAGGTGATTCAATAATTAGTCATCAGTGGTAGCAGGAAAAAAAAGATTTCTTTTTTTAGTTGATTCTATGTATGAGATATATACATTGCCTATTATGGAAAAGTAGCCCCTTATGATTATAGTTGTTTGTAATGTTTACTAATTTCTGAATTTCTCTCCTACCCTGATTGGTGTACAGAATTTTTTTTCTTTCTTCATTTGGGTCAGTTATTTTTAATTATGTATTTTTGTACCTGGTTATATATGTGAATAGATGCGCCCAAGCAGTCCAGAAGAGGGTGTTGTTTCCTCTCATGCTAGAGTTATGGGTAGTTGTGAGCTGTCCAATGTGGGTAGTGGGTACTGAGCTCAGGTTATCTGCAAGAGTAGTACTCACTTTTCAACGCTGAGCTATCTGTCCAGCCCTGTATTTCATTAAAAATTCTTTCAATATTCCCTGCTTTTACTGGCAACTCCTACTTCATTCCTGTTTTGCTTCTTTGGATTGATATAGATACATGCTGATACTGAGTAATAGTGTTTCTAAACCCAGTTCAGTGCCTGATTGATTTCTAGTTGTGATTGAGGGAAGGAAGAGAGATTAAATCCTTTGCTATTAAATCCTTTACCACATAGCCATTGGCATCATGGTAATTTCAGCTCTTTGTGAATAATGTTGCATAATAAAGTACTCTTATTGAGAGATACAGGTACACTTACTTAGAAATTTGAATGCCTTTTCTCATAGTCATAACCGTGTAATGATTATTTTAGTACTATGTAGATAACATTGTGCATATTTTGTGTGATAGTTTAAAATGCATTTTATGTTACTAACATGGCTTTTAATTTGTCAGTTGATTTAGGAACCCATTTAAATTGAGGGTTGTTTGTATGAATGCCATGTTTTCCTTTTCAGTCCTTTTTTTTCATCCCAATGTGTTCTTATCAATCCCCTTTTTAGGTTTCAGTTTTCTTGTTCTGGGTTGTGACTGTTGTATAAAAAGCTCATAGTAATATGAATTATTTAATTATTATGCATTTCTGGTAGCATGAACCGTGACATTAATTTATCATGGGGTATTATTTGATAATCAGGCATAATCTTCATACTTTAAATCTTGGTATGGAGTAATCATAAAACAAAACATTTTGGACCCTTTTGATGCTATGGAGTTCTAATATAAAAGTGATGTATTTGCTCTCAAAATTCTTTTTATATTTCTAAGGATGAGAATTGGATAGATGTTTCCCACAGGTGGGTATAGGCAGGAAGAAGAGTTTAATAACTTAAGGCAACTATCTGCTCTCAGTTTTAACTAGAAAAATATTATAGAACTGATAATATTGGTGGGAAGTGGTGTGTGTAGCCTATTGGATACATTTGCTAATTGCATATCATGTGGCACTTCTTTGTTTTTAATACTTATTTTCAAGTAAATCTTAATGAAAGTGAATCTGAAAGAGAAAATAGAGGTGTAGCAAACACATCACTTACTGGGTGAAAAACACTTTATTGTGTTTCTTAGCTTTCAGATAACAGAAGTATGTAAAAGTGGAAAAGGATATCGGATAGCTCAGAGATTCTCCAAAAGAGCCAGTGAGCTAAGTATGGGATACAGGACTAAGACAGTCCTGTTGGAGAGCTGGTCATGTGAGTGCACTCCTACCTACAGAAACCACTGCTGCCAATGCCATCTTTTCCCACTGAGATCAATATGGCATGGCATTCGTACAAATAGTGATACCATACACTGATGAGTCAGTCAGCCTGAGAAAGGGGCCAGTTAAAGCATACACAGCTTGCAACTTACATGGCTGAGAAACTCAACTCCGTCTCAAAAAGGAAGGAGAGCATGTGGGAGTTCACAGGATAGTGATGACATTTGAAGAATTTTAAAATGTGACAGAGCTGGTCTAGCGTAGCAGCAGTGGGAAATGAGAAACAGAAAATTGACATGGTTTACTATAGTTATTAGAAGAGTAATGTAAAGGTTGAAATCAAATACCAGTTTCTGTGTTGGTAATTAGCAAGTGATAATACCATTTGTTACAAAAAGAATAGATAGGTAGGAAAATCGTTTAGTTATTATGCCTGTAAGTCATCTGATTTTTAGAAATACCCAAATTTGAAGTCTGAGACCGATAAAGACAGTTGACTAGAAATTACTTCTTTAAGAATCTTAAATGTAGAGGTAAAGAGTGATAGAATGATCCACTCTGCGTTCTGCATGGTTGGCTAACAGAGGGACAAACAGCTTTTTTGTTAATTTTCAGGTCCTTCCCCCATATTCCCCTGAACGCCTGAGAAATGCTGAGAAAGATAGATAAAAGAAGGACCTTAGGGAGATAATGGAGTGAGATGAGGGAGCCAAGCTTACATGGGGACTGAAAACAGTGAAGCCAAAACTACAAACTAAAGGGATCCCTGAGAGTCCCAAACTGGTGCTGTCTAAGAGGGGAAGTAGTCAACAATAACTGTCTCTCGGAGGCCAGTTACAAACTGTGAAGTAGGGCTGCGCAGGTGGCTTACACGTTAAAAGCATATACTGCTCTTGAAGATGACCAGCATCCACATTGTAACTCACATCTGATTCCTCCTTCTCTGCAGGCACTAGGCATATACATAGTGTACAGGCAAAGTATGCGTACATAAATAAATACTGAAAGAAACCCAGAGTATTCATATTCTTAATTATCAGATAGTGGTATCGGTTTGTTTCTATTTTCTTCCATGAACAAGTTAAGTGTAGTAATTCGAGCAGTTGCCAATTTTCAGAGAGCTAGTGCATGAGTGGGCGTGGTGGGGAGGAGAGGCAGTGCCGGCTACAGTATATGTAAATGAGTGGGCGTGGTGGGGAGAAGAGGCAGTGCCGGCTACAGTATATGTAGAGAGAAAATAGAGCAGTGAAAGGAGAAACTTAGCGAATTTCCCTTTTTAAATGCGGAGTAATGTGAACATAGAGGCACGTAAGCTGTAATAGCAAGTGTTGATGGGCTGGGGTGTTCCAGTGTCATCATCGGAGAGCTAGAAAATGGAAGAAAGCAGCAGGGCTTTGGGACATAGGTTGGAGCCTCAGTCTTTGTGTTTAAATAGATGACCAGAGAAATCTGGAAATAGAAGCCCAGTTAAGACAGCAGGCTACATGAAAAGTAAGACAAGCTGGTACTATGATTGCTTTAGCAGAATGTTTGTAAAATATTGGTTAGGAGATGTTTATAATTCTCTAGCACTACAGTCTTGGCTATTTCCTTTAAAATATATCTTCATTTATGTTAATATAGTGCTATTTAAGCAGTATAATCACAATTTGCTAATTTGCAAGGTAGTTTGATTGTTATGTTTGAGCTTATTAATTATGTCTTTAATTTAAAACTATGAACTTAAAATCTCAAGGTGACTTATTTGTATATTTATATTTTGGTTTTATGATGAGAGTGATGGCAAATTGGAGGAGTGGCATGGATTTTGCCTTTAAAGAAGTAGCCTACAGATTCACATTTGGCATGTGAACTTTATTAAGTCTTGGAGCTAAGTGTGAAGTAAAACTATGTGAAGTAGATTAAAATTTCCTTGGTCTACTGTATTTGAATGTATATTTACTGTTTTGCTTATAAAATATATTTATTTTGGTAGAAAGCCTGAACACAACACTTTTATAGAAGTACCTGAAATAAACACAAAATATTAATGTCTTCTTTCTTTTGTTTTGACACAGAAAAGCCTCCTAACAAAAGTAGTATGAGGATAGTGGTGGATTCAGAGTCAAGGAAAAGAACCATTGGGTCTGGGGAACCTGGAGTTTCTACAAAGAAGACATGGTTTGATAAGTAAGCCGACAGAATATTGAAAAATTTTTTTATATATTGATTATTGCTGTATATATGTAATATAGCTGTATTGCTGTATTATTATTACCATGTAATCTTTTGGAATGTGTGAAAATGGTTATTTACTAAGTTGTAAGGATCTGTAGACTGTCCTCAGCCTGTAATTTCGGCTTTTTCTAGAAATTTGTAAGTTTGGTTTATCAGTACAAAGCTATTTTCTTATAAAAGTGGAGTGATAATGGAGGTCACAATTTTACTGTTAATTCTTTCACCTCAAAAAGAAACTCCTTATACATGTTAGATGTATATTGAGTAGAAGGTGTGCACATACATGATAGTTATCAGCCCAGTGCCAAAGAGGAAGGATGTAGAAGCTCTGGGTGGAGACTTCAGCACATATTATTTGCATATGTTTGCATCCATGAAGAGAGGTTAGGGCCACACTTAGTAGTTCAGAAGGAGTAGTTTTTAAATCTGGTTTTGTGATTAAATATGTGATTCAAGGTAAATGAAGAGGTGATTTTATTCGATCACAGATTTTTTTTTTCATGTACCAAAAGTATCATGTGTGTTCCCAATAATTTTATTTCTTCTTAAACTAGTAATAGGTTGAGGTGTCATCTTTATATCAGAAATTGAAGTTACAAAAGTCTTAAAATGCAAAACATTTTAGTATGCTAACTTTGTAGAATAGAAAAAGAATTGTATGTGCATTTGACTAAATGCAGGCTGTAGTATCTTCTTGGATAAAAATAACAGAAAATGAAAAGTGTATAAAAAAATTACTTCCATAAAAGACACTAACTACTAATTTAGAAACTGAAGGAAAAGTTAAAATTTTCTTATCAACTAGTACTTCCAGTTTTGGAGAAAAATTGATTACATTAAGAACATCCATTTTACTTGTAAAAATTTATTCCTTTGTAGTAGTTGGAGTCGGGATTTAAAGATATATTGACCAACTTATTTTTGCTTACAGACCAAATTTTAATAGGACAAACAGCCCAGGTTTCCAGAAGAAGGTTCAGTTTGGAAACGAAAATACTAAACTTGAACTTAGGAAAGTTCCTGCAGAATTAAATAACATCAGCAAACTTAATGAACATTTTAGTCGATTTGGAACGTTGGTTAACTTACAGGTAAGAGGTGTGGAATGATATTGTTGTCAGTAATTATTTAAATACTTAAGGAAACTTGTAGAGAAATTTAGAGAATTCATTTAAATTGTTACTATTATGCAATACCCGGAGAGGGTTAAGTAATAAAGAAAGGAAATATTATAAAATGAAGTGATGCTATTGGTTTGGTCTTTGAGAGAGGGATTCAGTGGTCAGACTCACTCCCACAGGCTCCTCTCGTGAGAGCTCAGGGATCTCTGAGAGCTTGTGCCTTGGTTAGGATTACTGTTGCCATGATGAAACACCATGACCAAAGCAACTTGGGGGAGGAAACAGTTTCTTCAGCTTATGCTTCCATATCACAGTTCATCATCAAAGGAGGTCAGGACAGGGCAGGAACTATAGGCAGGAACTGTTGGCAGAGGCCATGGAGGAGGACAGCTTACTGGCCGTCCTGCTTTCTTGCAGAACCTGCTCAGCCTGCTTTCTTACAGAACTCAGGACCACTAGCTCATGGAGGATCCCACCACAGTGGCCTGGGCCTCCCACATTAGTCATTGCTTGAAGATAAAGTCCTACAGGCTTGTGCACAGCCTATGGAGGCATTTTTTGAGATGTCTTCCTCTGAGATGACTTTAACTTGTGTCAGGTTGACATAAAACTATTCAGTACAGCTTGTAATGACAACTCCTCTAAATGATCTGATAACCTACCACTGGCCTCTTCTTCAAAGATTCACACCACTTACCAGCACTGCTGACTAATGACTTGCTTTGACATGTCTTTGTTCTGTAAAACTAAAAAATCATGGAACTGCTTCCACACTGAAATCTAAGTCTTTGTTTCATGGCCACTCAGATCTAGCCCCCAAATAAACTTTTCTCTTACTCCCTTAAACAAGTAAATAAGTAAAAAGTAAAGAACTTTCCCATGCTACTGGGAAATAACTGCGAGAGTGACAAAGTTGGCATATTGTATAGCTAGCATAGGTATAAGGAGCTGTGATAATAAGCTCTTACATGAAAGGACCAGCATTTCACAATTGAGAAATTGACTGTCTAAAGCCATGTATTCCTTTAGAATTCCTTTAGAAACTGTCCTCACATGTTAAATCTTAGGTTGCCTATAATGGTGATCCTGAAGGTGCCCTTATCCAATTTGCAACATATGAAGAAGCAAAGAAAGCAATCTCAAGTACAGAAGCAGTATTAAATAACCGCTTTATTAAGGTTTACTGGCACAGAGAAGGAACTACTCAGCAGTTACAAACCACTTCACCAAAGGTAAGAGAGAAATTAGTGTGAGGTCTTAGTTTCTTAGGCTCTTCTTATCTTACATATCAATCCCAGTTCCCTCTCCCTCCTATTCTCCCATGTCCACCTCTGACCCCCATCCCTTTCCTCTTCTCCATAGAAAGGGTGAGACCCTCTGTTGGAGGATCATCAAAGTCTGTCACATCATTTGGGACAGGGACTAGGCCCTCGTCTGTGTGTCTAGGCTGAGAAAGTGTCCCTCAGCTCATGGTGTCCATTCATACATGGGGGTATAAATGCTGTTCCATTACCAGGGTCCCCATAGATTGTCTTGGGCTCTTTTAGTAGAGCTTAAGCAGAGGCTTTTGAACCAAGTGGCACCTTAGTTTTACTACTTTAGGGTCTTGAGACAGTTAACTTATCCAGCTATTCTTTCATTAGCTTGTGAAGTTAATCGTAATTTAGAGAATACAAGATGGTATGTGTAAAGCGTCTAGAACAGTTGCTGGGAAAGTAATCACTCATTAAATGATGGCTATATATTTCTTGAGTTTACCCTAAGTGGTTATCTTAGGAATTCTTTTTTCTTTCTCTTGTACTCCTCCCTCCCTCCCCAAAGAGATATAGAATAGTCTGTTTTTCTTTTCTTTTCTTTCTTTTTTTTTTTTTTTTGATTGATTGTTTAAACAAGCAGTGATGGATTTAATGAATTTTCTGTCCTCATAATTTATTTCTGACAAAGAAAATGTATATACATTGAAAAGAATAGAAAGAGTTGAATTTGATTATAAAGCTACATTTTAAAATTTTCTTTATATGGGTACTGTAAGTACAAAATCATCCTGGTTGGATTTTATCTTCTTTTACTAACTTGGTTGCTTTATTTTTTCTTTTTGCTCTGAGGTAATACAGCCATTAGTTCAGCAGCCCATTTTACCTGTTGTGAAACAGTCGGTAAAAGAGCGATTGGGTCCTGTACCTTCAGGTACTGTTGAACCAGCAGAAGCCCAGAGTGCTACTTCAGACCTTCCCCAGGTAAATAGAAGGTTTTATCAACAGGTCTGTCAAATAGGTTCTCAGTCAATTAATTTTCCTTCGTTGCTAGTTGCTAGAATTGTAGTTTATGATGTATGTTCTGCACCTGTGTGTGAATTCCACCTATAAGTTAGTTTTAACATAACATCATCTTCATTGTGTTCTGCTAGAGAATTTAATCTTAAATTCTTTTTCCTAGTTAATACTTACGAGAAAGGCCTCTTTTTCACTTTAAACAAATTTGCCAGAGAGTGAATTTCAGTATACTAAATCTTATTTTTTTCTATTATCTTTTTACTTAGAGTTCTATCTCCCGATAATTAGGCAGTAGAGTGAACAGGAAACATTTGGGAAGGGAAGATTTAAGCCGTCAGGTTCATGTGCTCGACTGAGAATCTTAGAACTCTGCATCACTTATTACTGACTGGGGTTCTCTTCTCCATATGTCATTTCTTTTCCAGTTCCGGACTTGAGAGCCATTTTCTTGTTTCTACATGCTCAGAAATTTAGCTTTCTTTTTCTCTAGGTGTTTCATGATTTGCTGTAAAAAATGGGGTAGATACTGTTTTTGATAATTCTTGATGCATAAAGTAAGATAATGAGATTCTGTATGAAGGTTCAGAGTGCAAATTGATGAACTGTTACTTTTAAGTTATATCTAAGTAATTACTGAGTATAGTGTATTTAATTATAAACATTTTCAGAACGAATGACCCTTGTTTTTAAGCTTATGAAACAGGCTTATACTTTGAATGTTCACATCTATTTTAAAATGTGCAGACTCTCTACTTGTTAATGTACAAGTCCAGGAAGGGACTTTAACAACCAACTACTTGAGGACAGATTTTACGTTGTAGTTTTTTGTGGTTAAAATTAAAGACTGTTTAGATTTTTGATACATATTTCCTTCTTATCCTTTCCCCTTCCTCTTCTTTCTCCTTGTTTCTCTCTCCTATTTTTTTTTTTTAAGGCCCAAGTTTCTGTGGCTAGTATTGTTATGCAGTAACTCAGTATATATTAGTAGAATCAGGATGTTCAAAATCCCAACAGACTTAATATATGTTTGGGGAAACACTGAATATGTCCGTTTTAATCTTTTTAGAATGTAACTAAGTTATCTGTGAAGGACAGGTTGGGTTTTGTATCAAAGCCATCTGTTTCAGCAACTGAAAAGGTAAGAATAGCATGATGTGTTTGTCTTGGCTTCATAAATGTTTTTCAGGTGGCATCTTCATTTTTAATTTTTTTCATAGCTCCAAACTCCTGCTTCTTAATAGTATTGGTAGCTCTTACTCCTGCCTATTTGCTGAAAAAGAATGCCTTCTTTTTTACATCAACATTTCAGTACTTGCTTCTCTTCTATGTGCTTCATTCTTTGTTTTCTTTTATGTTTACTTTCTTAAGAGACATTGTGCATTTTAGCTTGAAAACTCTGGTAGTGTAATAGAAAGGGTCATGAGCTAGGAATATTACCAGAATTTGGTCCCTAGCTCTTTGTTTCCTAACTGCATGGTAATTGGCAGTGTATTTAATATTTCTAAATCTTTTTACTTATTGGTAGGCTGGTGATGGTATTATGTGTCTTGCTTTATTTAATTAAAAGTAGTTTTAAATGGAAAGGATGGTTATTATTATTTTATTTTGGCCAGTTTAAAGTTATTGCTGACAGTTATTTATAAGAAGGTAAATAAAGATTGTTAAGGCTGTTTATGGATCTTATAAATAGATGTGTGGTATGTTGTTTCCATGTTAAGCCTTCCCCGATAATATTGTTTTGTTTGAAATATGTGAAACTATAAAATAATAGAGTTGAATGATCTAAAGACCAAGCGTAACAAAACCCCAAAAGATTTGTTTGTCTAGTTTCTAGCCCATGTTCTTTCTAGTTTGAAGATTACTGGGGAAATTCATGTTGAAAGTGAATCAGGCATCTAGCTGACCTGCCATCCATCCATTTGTTCTTTAGAGTACTGTTTTATTTGTGACTTACTCAATAAACTTTGACATTTTGAGAAATTTGCAACTCAGTCTGCATCAGACCTTTCTTTTGGGCATCTCAGTGCCTAAAATGCACTATTTTCCATACAGAAGTTAATTTTAATTTCCAGTCCTTATCTCTAGAAATAGCTGTCAGAAGTGTCTTAAGCCTTGAAGGCATGGCACATGTATTTATAGTGTATTACTTTTTCTCTATTGCCTTCAGTTTTCTGCTTTTGAGTGACTTAGCTGGTGTGTCTTATTATTCTCTTTAAACTTTGTTGCCATTCTGTCAGTACAATGTTTGTTTATTTTAGAGAATTTGAATTCATTGGTTACAATTACTTCGTTTAGTTCATAGTTCATAGACCTCCCTCCTCCTCCCAGCAGTGTATGTTATCTGCCTTGTGTGAGTTTTTGTGTGTTGTTTTGTGCCCTCCAAGCCAAGTTTTCTGTCTTGTTCTCTTCCAGTTTCTTTCCTAGCTCACCCTTTTAATCTTGTGTATGTTCTATCTCAGTCTAGTTCTAGCTTCTTTGTGCTACTTCTCCTTGATTGCATTTACGCTGCCAGTCAAATTTCCTGATGTCTAATATACCAGTTTTAGATACTAATTTTGTTATATGTTCTTTTCTTTTTTTCTTTTTTCTTTTTTTTTTCTTTTTTTTTTTTTTTTTTTTTTTTTTTTTTTTTGAGGGGTGGGGGAAGTATTTTCAAGATACGATTTCTCTGTGTAGTCCTGGCTTTCTCGGAATTCATACTCTATATAGACCAGGCTGGCCTCAAACTCAGAGATTGCCTGGCTTTTGTCTCCCGAGTACTGATTAAAAGCTTAATGAATTTTTGAAAAATCTGAGACTTTATCCTGTTTTCATAATGAAAGTTAACATTTACATTTGGATTTTTTTTTAAAATGGGAAAATAATTGAGCTACATTTATAATGAAAATTAACATTTACATTTGGAATTTTTTAAATTGGGAAAATAATTGAGCTACATTTCAGTTTTTTTTTTTTTTTTTTTTTTTTTTTTTTTTTTCATTTAGCCATTGGAAATGACATTGAACAAGTTCTCTTGACTCTATTTTAAAATAGAGGTGTGATGGGAGAGGTCATTCTGTATGTTTCTCATACTGGTTAATAATAAAGCACTGTTGGCCAATAGGAAAGGAAGATAGGAGGGACTAGGAGACAAGGAGGAAATAGGAAGTAGTAAGGAGGAGTCAAGATGGAGAGTCAGGAGAGAGCTGGACGCCAGCCGCCTCCCCGGTAAGAGAAGGCCATGTGAAAATACATAGATCAGCAGAAATGGGTTAATAATTAAGGCAGAGCTAGCCGATAAGAAACAAGTAACCGGGCCAACAGCATTGTATCAAATACAGAGTCTCTGTGTATTATTTGGGGCTGGCGCAGCAGCAGGACAAGACCAAGCGGCAGGCAGAAAAACCCTACTCGTTACAGAGGTGCTAATAGCCTTTTGATTTTACTTTTGAGTTGCTGTACAGTTTTGCTGATGTAAATCCAAAGATTGGTAGACTACATAAAGCTTTTCTCTCCCACTATTTATTATTTTAATTGTTTTTTAGTAAATTGTTCTCTGTGAAGACTTTCTTAGGTTATTTTTTTTATTAACTTGACTTATTTAAAAGATTGTACTTTTTTGGGAATTATAATTCATAGAAAAATTGATTATGAACTGTAAATAGCTTGTTTTTTGATGTTTAAAAGGTTTCTCTGTAAGATAATTAAATCTCTTATCATATATGGAAGATTAAAAAGTTGAACTCATGGGACAGAGTAAATGATGGATGGTTACTATGGCTCTAAGGTGAGGAAGTTATGAAGATTATGGCTACAGGTTGTCAAATAATACCAAAATATGTCAACATGGTAACCTCAGTTAAAAACCATGGTTATAAGTGTTCTCAAAACAAATTATCAGCCAGTGCAAATATTAGTTCAGTTTATCCATTTTATAAGAGATACACACACACACACACACACACACACACACACACACACACACACACATATATATAATGTATTGTGCATAGCAGATAAAATTTTTTATGTTTTTTAGAACTACCTAGTATTCTTGAGAAAAAATTCTATTATATATGTATGTATATACATGTGTGTATGTGTTTTTTTTTTTCTTCAGAGACAGGGTTTTTCTTTGTAACATCCCTGGCTAGCCTAGAACTTGCTTTATAGACCAGGCTGGCCTCGAGCTCACAGAGGTCTGCCTGCCCCTCCCTCATGAGTGCTGGGATGAGTGGCGTGTGCCACCACTGTAAGTCTAATCAGAATACTTTTTAAATGAAACTTTAAATCTTTTCATCACACCAGAACTCACCACTTACTTGGTCAGTGTTGCAGAATGCTTATCTATGTGCTATGAAATAGTATTGTAGATAAACATTACATTTTACTGAATAGGTACATACTTTATCAAAAACATTGAACATACTAATCTTCCTGTCTATATAGTGCCTCACATACTTTTAAAATTAAACCGAGTTTCTTTTCTGCTTTAAATACCTGCTAGAGCTACTTACTTTAACATGTTAGCATTCTTTTATATTTTCAGTTTGAGCATTACTTATTTTAAAAATGATGCTTAGATGACTTCATAGGAATCCTAAATAGTAAATAGGAGTCTTTCCCTCCCATCCTTAGCAAGACAATGTTTGCGTTTTTATACATACTAATGCTAGGTATAGGTAGGAATGTTGTCCAGAACAAGAAATAGAGATGTGGGAACAGTTGAGAGCACTTGTTGCTCTTATAGATGACCCAGGTTTGCTTCCCAGAACTCATGTGGCAGTTCACAGCCATGCTAACTTCAGAAGGTCCAGGGGATCTGGTGCTCTCTTCTGACTTCCTTGGAAACCAGACATGCACATGGTGCATATTTGTAACGTATAGACACAACACTAATACATATAAAATAAATCTAAACAAAAAAGGAAAATGATTAAATGGATTATAATCTCTTAATAATTTAGAGAAGTAACTTTTGTCTTGGTCATAGGATATATTAATAAAAACATAGCACGTGCTAGACCTTTTAACTCATCTTCTGAGTAATAAATACATCATGGCCAGGAAAGATTAAGTCTAGAAACTCAAGATGATTTAACACCAGGAAAACTGTTTAACTGACTACATTTGTAGTCAGTTTCCCTTTGTAAGGGAAAAGGAAAACCTTGTGTAGTCTACTATCTTGGTAGAAAAATGTTTGGTGAAATACTTCACACCAGAGTGGAATAGATAGAGACTTCCTACCTTGATGAAGAATGTTTGCACCTCACCTACCAGAACTAACATTAAACTTCATGATGAAACATAGTGACTATCCCCCATCTGTCCAGTTCAGGAATGAGACAAAGATCTCTCATCACTTTCATTTTTTTCTTCTGGGTTTAAAATGAAATAAGCCATTATAAAGATTTGAAAGGAGGAAATAAAACTGTTTATGTATGGGTGACACAATTATTATATGTGTAGAAAATCCAGAATAAACTTAGAAGCAGTTGAGATCATAGGTGAGTACAATTAGATCATGAGAACTTAGGCTAGTGTTATGTCATCGTATAAAATTAGAGTACATGAAGAAAATTGGAAAATTAACATTCCTGCAAAGGCCATGCTTTATAGTCTTAGAAATTGTAACTTAGTATGTTGGTTGGATTTGTTGGCTTCTTCCACTGTTTTTGTTTAAATGTATTAATTTATTTATTGACAGTGCTAGAGGTCGAACCCAGGACTTTGAGGATTGAAGCATTGCATTCAGTTTCATATGTAGTTCTAAGACTGGCTTTTAATACTGTCAATGCTTCCAGCTTCCAAATGCTGCATTTACAGGCATTTGCCACTAGGCCTGGGTAAATTTTAAATCTTGAAAAATGTGGAGTTTTTTTTTTTTTTTTTTTTTTTTAACTATTCTAGTATTTAAAACTCTGGAACTAAATAGATTAGAATAAAAAAGCAATATTTGTAGTCCTACAGTTCATTATTTCCAAGACACATTCTAATTTTACATCTTGGCACCTTTGGGCCATGTTTCACCATTGTTGAAAATGAAGTTATAACTAACTGTAAGCTCTTTGCTATTGTTTCTTTATTGTTTAATTTTAAGTCGGAATCCTTGAGATCGAGGCTCTGTGTAACAGTTTATCATATATAGTTGTGATGTACACATTTCCAAGTTATTGAGTTTGGAGAATTTTTCTATTCATAGTTGTTTAATTTGTTAGGGAATTCTTATGAAGAAATTGTATACTTAAGTAGTTAATGTATACTTAAAACAATGGAACTGTTTTATGGTTTTCATAAATTATCTCTCCTTCATATTCTCATCCAGTTTAGCATTTGTTACATGGTAAACTAGCATCAAAGAAGTTCTCTGGAAGTATTCATAGTAGTCACTGAAATTAGACTATGACCTAAATCTGTGTTTTGTATTCTAATTAATATAAGTATTTCATAGTTACTATTTCATGTTTATTAGTGATAAGTGGCTTTTTGGTCATGAAGAAGTTTACACGTGAAGTTCTGATACATGTAGAATACCATTTTCTTTTACCTTTTAAATATCAGGTGTGGACTGTGGAGCGAGAATAGTGACAGCTTTTATTTCATTTAGATTTTGAGACATTTCATGGATGCTTAGAATAGTAATGAGTCACCCATGTTTTTTTCCTCTTATTTCAAGATTAGAAAGTGGTCTCCAGAATGCCACTATTATGCTTTATCAGATGTTAACCTAGTAGCTAAAAATAGGGTAATATTTCCAACTTATTCTCTTACTACTTTTTGTATCATGTTTTAGCCCAGAAATTCTTAAGGCATAAAAAGAAGGAATGTTGTCCCCTGAAAAATCATGATGTGTGGTTATTTGTTTAGATTTCATAGAGTCTGTTGATACTGTCTTCTCTAAGAACCCATTACTTCATGGAACTTAGTGAAGGAAATAAATAGCCTCTCAGGACTGTCGTCGTCCCCCCGCCCCCTCTCCCCCGTCCCCCAATTAAACCTAGTGTTTTAAAGTGCATCCCACTTTAATTGATAATCATTTTTGTAAGTTAGTGTGAAAATGTTTATTATTTCTCATGTGTGATTGTATTCTTTTAGATACTGACAGTATGGTGATAAGGCAAGTGAAAAAATAATGTTTGCTCAAAGAGAGAGCTTTGGGTTTGTGTTTTAGATGCTGTCAAGATGACCCTCCCAGTTTTATAAATGAGCACACTGAGGTTCCTTCCCCTACCTCTCATTCATAACTCAGGGTTGATAAGACTTAGACTCAAGAGTCACAAAGAAGAGAGAAACTAGAAATTATTTCAAGGGTCTTACAGTGTAGATAGGAAGGAATACCTCAACATCAGTTTTTTTTTTTTTTTAAATTAAATAGTTAATATTACCTAACTAGTGGTATTTTTATATCATGGCTTAAGGAATAAAAATTTGTAAGTATTGGGCAGAAAAGAAAAATGTTTAGTGCTTTGGTTTGTGCTGCATCTGAGCGTGGCTTAAGAGGTTAAGATCACTTTAACCAGGAAAAATGTGGCCTTCAAGGAATGGAGAATGATTGCTGCGTTTATTTCAGAACTACAAATCACAGTGGTTATACCACTGTAGGATGACATGCAGTTTTTCTCTTGTGCTTTTTTTTTTAAACAATATAGATAATATATTCACAAATATTTTCTGAGAAATATAGTAATGGCAGTGTTCTTTTCCTTTTTCAGGGTTACATGTTTCGCTTTGCTTTTTTTGTTATACCTATTAAGTCACTTATTCACTCATACTGTTCAAGTCATGAAATGCAATTGTAGTTATATAATACATTTAGTTCAACATGCTAGTTTTAGGTGCTTTGAAGTTTAAGTTTCTTAGAAAGCAGGACTTAAATTATGAATGATTACCCTCTGTTTTAAGACATTGAATTTGTGTTGGTAGGTGTTGTCTACATCTACTGGCCTTACAAAAACGGTATATAATCCAGCTGCTTTGAAGGCTGCACAAAAAACCTTACTAGTTTCTACCCCTTCAGTTGATAATAATGAAGCACAGAAAAAGAAACAGGTAAGCACAGATAGTATAACAAATCTGTAAATAGGAATCCACCACCCGACCCCCCTCGCCCATGGGTGTGTTTGTACATGTGTGCATGTGTGCATGTAAAGGGACTTACTCATGGAGAGATGGGATTGGTCTGTGTGTAGCAATAAGCACCAACACAGCTTAGTGTATTGCTTTTGTTGCAACGCTTCTTCAGTGAAAACTGCTTTGCTTTTGTATTGTTTTATCTTTAGATTTCACGCAAATGATATTTTGATTCTTTTAGGAGGCACTGAAACTTCAGCAGGATGTAAGAAAAAGGAAGCAAGAAATTTTAGAAAAGCACATTGAAACGCAGAAGGTAAAATAGTAAACTTATAGGCAGAATTACCAGTGTTCTTATTTTTAGTGAATTTAATCTAATTAGTTCATAGTGAGAAGCAGATTTACTGTAATTGGTAGTGGTAAAAGGGGAAAAGTTAGTGTGTCATTGTTATGTATTAATATTGGAGTTGAAGAAACTTATGAAGTGTGGGAATAATTTATTTGGAACTGGTTCTCAACATGATTGAAAATAAATTCATTTAGCTCTGTTACTGTACAGTAGTTTGGTCAGTGAATAATATAATGAAATGAAATATTTTTCTCACTATTGATATGCTCTCCACTAATTTAGGATCCTCTACTCCTGTGTTATACAGTAGAGAGTAGTCAAATGCTATATCTGACTGATATGTCTCGTTCAAATTGAAGTGAAATGATAGTTACATACCAGATTTCAAAGATATAGTTTGAGGGAAAAAAAAAAATCTCAGGAATTTTTTGTTGTTCTCAGAAACTTTTTGTTGCTGTTGAAATGTGCATTTTGGTACTCTAGGCTAAATTACTGAATTAATTTTATTTTTCCTCTTTTATTTTTTTAACGTCATTGATAAACATATTATGTGTAGGCATGGAGAGATAGTTCAGTGGTGAAGAGTATTTGCTACTCCTATTCCAGAGGACCTAATTTTGGGTTCCCAGTCATGTCAGGTGTCTCACAATTGCAGTTAATTCTACCTGTAAGGTACCAGACTTTTTTTTTTTTTTTTTTTGTCTTTTTCAAGGCAGGGTTTCTTTGTGAAACAGTCCTGGCTGTCTGGGAACTCACTTTGTAGACCAGGCTGGCCTTGAACTCATAGAGATCTGCCTGCCTCTGCATCCTGAGTGCTAGGATTAAAGGTGTTTGCCACCACCGTCCAGCTCAGACCTCCTTTTCTGACCTCCATGGTCATCTGTCTGCATGTGTATGGCACAGGCACATATATCAATTATAAAGTAAATCTTTAAATCTTTTATGTGGCTGGTATTTCTTAGCTGTTTTTGGGGCAGATTGCTCTAATTTGTGACATTTAATTAGAAGTTAGTTCTTGATGAATGTTGGTAGTAGAAAAATGCAAACATACAGAAACAATGTTTTGTTGGCAGAGTGGTGCATTACTGTAATCTCAGCACCTGGGGAGGCTGAGGCTGTCAGTTGCTGAGTTTGAGGCCAGCTTAGGCTACAAATTAACACTGTCTGAAAAAAACCTACATTAAGATTAGAAATATGGCCTTTTCCTATTTTTGAATATACTTCCGTTAAACTGAAATCACAATGCTTTATATAAAAAAGTGAAGCTGTCTTAACTTAGAACATAATTCCGTGTGGTCTCCCATCCCACTTCTCTTGTTCAGGGCTTATGTTCTACGAGAGCCAAATAATAGTAAAGTTCGGAACAAGTAAACTTGTAATTACATCCCTGTCAGCTAGCTACCAAGTATGCTCCTCTCTCTTTATAACTTGAGAACAATAGACCAAGAATAGTATTTGTTTTAACTGTTTGACTGTATTTGCTTGGTTGTCTCTTACACTTCTTCTTTAAAATTTGCCAGATGCTAATTTCAAAACTAGAGAAAAACAAAACAATGAAGTCTGAAGATAAAGCAGAAATAATGAAAACATTAGAGGTTTTGACGAAAAATATTACCAAGTTGAAAGATGAGGTCAAATCTACATCTCCTGGACGCTGTCTTCCAAAAAGTTTAAAAACAAAGACTCAGGTATTCTGTCTTCTTATCCATAGGACTACTTGTTAATACTCTCAAGCATGGATCCCGAGAGGTGGCCTAGTGGTGTAGTGCATTTGTTACTCTTCCAGAGAACCTAGTTTCAACACACTCACTTTGCACCTAGTTCCGGAGGATCTCACACCTTCTTTTTTGTCCCACAGGCACACTGAATGCACTAAGTGCACAGATATATGTGTAAGCAAAATACCCGTATATAATACATACAGATCTTCAAAAAAGAGAGCTTTACCATGAACATCTCACACTATCTTTAAGTTGTTAATTTAGGATATGTACTTTTCTTCATAACTCTCCTGTTTTTGTTTTTCACCTTTATTTTTATTTGTTGTTTTTTTTTTTTCCTTCTTCTTCTTCTTCTTCAAGATAGCATTTCTCTGTGTAGCCCTTGGTGTCCTGGAGCTCACTCTGGAGACCAGGATGGCCTTGAACTCCTCGGCCTCCCAAACTCTGGTATCAAAGGTGTGTGCCCCACTCCTGTCAGGCAACTCTCCTACTTCTTACAGCGGTGATATCTGCCATTAGAAAATGACTGGGATCACTGCCAGGCAACTCCCCTACTTCTTACAGCGGTGATATCTGCCATTAGAAAATGACTGGGATCACTGTGGGAAGTAGTTTGGGACAAAGTGATAAGGGTTGTATGGTGAAGAAGTTTGAAGTATGTATTGTAACTAGTTAGTGACATAAAAGGCCAATGACAGGAAGTAACCTAGCATCACTGTTCAGAAGAATTTGTAATAAGAAAAATTCAGGTGTATTTACTCAGAATAAAATAAAGGTGGTACAGTATTTTTACTTCGTATGTGTATGCACACACCAAACACACATTTATATTTCTAATTTAAACCTAAATCACATGCTTATTCCGTTTTAAAATTCAGTTTCCATAATGACAACTTGGTCTCATAACATTCATTCAAATAGACCTACAATACATTCGGAATAGTTCCAAAATTGTTGCAGTACTGATAACAACAATTAAGTTGGATTCAAATTTTATTTATATTCTTTACAAACTAATTGTATTCCATTAAATAGTAGGTCAAACTATGATGTTGGTTTACTTCTAGTTCTTTTTGTAAATACTGTTGATTACATAAAGTTAGGTATATTTCTGTTTTCAGTTTTGATCAGTTTTGAGTTCTTCTTGGCTGTAGTTTTTACTGGTTTAAAATTTCAATAATAATATTAGCATGGTTCAAAAGTACATAAAATGATACACATAGACTTTTCTCCTACTTCACCCCCTGAGCATCCCTAACAGCACTCCTTGCATGTAACCATCATTAGTTTGTGTTTTATCCACAAACCTAAGACATAAAGACACACTGTATTTTGCATGTTAGCTCTTTGCTTCCCCCCCCCCCCCCCCCCCCGGAATTTATTACATTATCAGTTCATAGAACTCATACCTTGGCTGTGGTATAGACAATGACTTTTAGGGAAATCAGTGAGGATAAACATTAGGGTATTTTTTATTAGAATAATATTGCATGTAGTAGAAGAGAAATGTTTTACACATTGACATGTACCTTTAACCTTGACATTTGTGAGGACAACATGAGAATCTTGACTGGATTACTGGCCCTTGCCAAAAAAAAAAGGGGGGGGGGAATGACACAAGTGGACATGAGAAAAAATATCTTTTAAAAATTTTACATAAGTTCAGAATATTGTTATTTGAAACATTAATGACTTTTTCAGATGCAGAAGGAATTGCTTGATACAGAATTGGATTTATATAAGAAAATGCAGGCTGGAGAAGAAGTCACTGAACTTAGGAGAAAGTATACAGAATTACAGCTGGAGGTATGTTTATTACAATTATACAGCTTGCTGGCTTGGGAAAACATACTGCTTCTATACACCCTGGTATCTCCATTTCTAGTGATTTTTTTATTTCTTTTTTGATTTTGTTCTCTTCTGCGTTTTGGGATTAAATACAATTAAAGGCTTTTTAGGTATTTGTATGAAAATAGTCTTTTTATGTGTAAAGTCATACAGGCATTGTGTTGAATTACTAAAAAATAGGTGTAAATCTGTTTAAACACATGCTTATTTAAGTTTTGCCTATAGATGGTGCTGTGGGTGTTTTATATGAGAAAATAAAACTACTTTATAATTTAGTTATGATTAAATCAGAAACTAGTGAAATTGATCTCTGTTATAAAACATGGATGTTTAATACTCACTTAAAATGTTTAAAAATTTGTTATATTACAAAACATAAAGCTATATATTAATGTCTAAATTCACCATTGCTTGACAACATCTGAGATTTTTTTTTAACATTTTAGGCTGTTTCTCTTAATTTGAATATATTTTCTTAAAAGTTTGTTGACACTGTTTTTTTTTTTTTTTTTTTTCCTTCTCCTGACAATGTAGTAGAAGTCTGTTTAGTGCTATGCAAGTATTAAAGTCTTGACTTTTGGCATCTGCTGGACACGTCTTAGGCTACATTTATCTTGAGAGTCATAAAAAGCTAAACATGCATACATCTGTATTTCTTTGAAACATGATCTGGTTTGTCTCTATGTTCTACCCCAAACAATGAGTTTCTTATATTAATTTTAAAATTGTTTTCTCCTTATGAATATTTCTGACATGAATTTAGTAAATAGGTAATATAAAAATGTACTGTTCCATGTTTTGCTTGTTGTCATTTAGCCAAAGGTGAAATGGTATTTTCTGGTCTTTTATGATGACCCTCAGCTTTGGTTTTCAGTAACACTCATGTATGCAGTAATGTAGTAGATGCCAGAATATGCTTGCTCATCACAGAAATTCCGTTATCATTAATAGAGACTTGTGAGCTAAGATTTTTAGATCAAATGCATTTTGAAAAGGTCATATTGAATATGCTGTTTGACTGTAGGATTTCTGGGAAGCTTTTAGTTTGAATTCTCAAATTATAGACTTGGTGAAGCTTAATTTTCACACAGTATCGTTGTGTCTTTAATACTCTGCAGGGTATACTTTTGATATGTTTAATCTTTATAATCTTTCCCCTTTAAAGTTTGTTTTTTATTTTAATATTTAATTGACCAGTTAAGAATTATACGTGTGTATGGTATATAATATGTTTCAATATATGAATACATCATGGAATGACTTATCAAAATAATGTATCCATCACTTCATTTTCTTATGAAAATATATTTAAAAATTTTCTTCCCTAGCTCTTTTCAAATACATCATCTGTCATCATCAGTTGTACTCAATGTGCTATACAACAGATGCTAGACTTTATTCTATTGTACATTTCGATTAACATTTCTCCATTTTCTGTTTCTGTGAAGAGACACCATGACCACAGCAACTCTTACAAAGGAAAGCATTTAATTGGGGCTGACTCACAGTTCAAGGGTTTATAGTTCATTGTTGTCATGGAGGGAAACATAGTGGCTTGCAGTAGACATAGTGCTGGAGAGACAGCTAAGCATTCTACATCAGGATCAGCAGAGAGCAGGAAGACATAGGGATACATTGGTCCTGGTGTTGAGCATCTTAGATCTCAAAGCCCAACCCCAGTGATACATTTCCTCCAACAATCCCACACCTGCTCCAACAAGGCCATATCCATCTCCATAGTGCCAGTCCTTATGAGACCATGGGAGCCATTTTCTTTCACATCATTGCAGATGCCCTTGTTATGTAGGGTGCTGGGGGTTGGACTTAGTTCTCTTGCTTACATGGTAAGCACTTAATGACTGTGGTAACTGCACAGCCGAATTGTAGTGATATTCTGTTTGTAATCTAACAAATAAAGCTTGCCTGAAGATCAGAATGCAGAGCTGAGTCACTAGTTAATAACATACCTAGTTAAGAGCTAAGCCACTGGTTAGCCACACACCTAAGCCACTAGTTAGCCATAGAGGACAGGCAGTGGTGACCTCACCTTTAATCCCAGCACTCAGAAGACAGAGGCAGGTAGATGGATCACTGAGTCCAAGGCCACCCTGGACTGCACAAGAGTGAATCAGTCTAAAAGAGATACAGAGCTCACACCTTTAATCTCAGCATTTGGGATGACACATCTTTAGTTGGAGAGAATGCTAGGCAGGAGCTCAGTGCAATCTTAGGGCAGTCTGAGGCTTGGTGGAGAACATTGCAATCAGCAGTCACTCTGAGGACAGGATCTGTCCCCCTTTGGTCTGAGCCTTGTTAGAGGTAAGACCTCTCTGGTGGCTTAGCTGCTTTGCTTTCCTGATCTTCAGCTTGAACCCCAATATCTGTCTCTGGATTTTTATTATTTGTGCTACATGAAACTGCGCTTGAGATTAAGGACTACTCACACAAGTCTTGACGAAATATTAGTGTAATGAAGGAGCGGTGCTCTACACGAGAGCAGCGTTGTGGTAGGATATTAATATTCTGTGTTCTGTGCTATGCTGTGTCGTGCATTTGAGAAAACTTACTAAACCGGTTGAGTCAACAGACAATGAAACAGAAGTATTTATTTAATAATTATATAAAACTTGAAGGGTTTGGGTACAGTTCAGTGTAAAAATGTCTTTATTATTTATGTAGTTCCTGTTGCAGTCTGTATTAACTAGACTTTTCAAGGAATTAAGAAACCCAGAGTTACAAGTCCCTTTGTTCTTATTTTGCTTACAGTATGAACTTAGTTTGGGAGGGAGGAGGGTGAAGTGGCATATGGCTCAGTGCATGAAGCTGGCCTGCTGACTTGAGTTTGTTCCCTGCGACTTATTTGGTGAAAAGAGATGGGAAATAATGTAATAAAATGGTAAATGTATTTTAAATACTTTTTAGAAAGAATGCATTTAAGTTTGTTTTTTTTTTTTTTTTTTTTTTTTTTTTGAGATGGGGTTTCTCTGTGTAGCTTCTGAGCTTGTCCTGGAACTTATTCTGGAGACCAGGCTGGCCTTAAAGTCACAGAGATCATTCCTGCCTCTGCCTCCCAAGTGCTGGGACTAAAGGTGTGTGCCACCACTACCAGGCTAATTTTAGAATTTTTAATGTTATGTAGTTATGTAAATACTTTCTCAGCTATCATAAACGTTTTGAACCATTTTTGAAATTGTAACACTTGGCTTGAGTTACCACAGGTGTAGTATTCCTAATTTGAAACTTGTTATACTCAATAAGTGAAGAAAGTCAGTGCAAATATTTCAAAATCTGAAACTCTAAACTCAGGAACACAGAGTATCATGTATAACCTCTGCTCTTTTCTAGGCTGCTAAAAGAGGAATTCTTTCATCTGGCCGAGGTAGAGGAATTCATGCCAGAGGTCGAGGTACAGCTCATGGCCGGGGCAGGGGTAGAGGTCGAGGACGAGGTGTGCCTGGACATGCTGTGGTGGATCACCGACCCAGAGCATTGGAGATTTCTGCATTTACAGAGAGTGATAGAGAAGATCTTCTTCCTCATTTTGCGGTACTTTATCACCTAGCAAAATAATACTAATAATTGTTACTTGGGTTATAGATATGATTAAAGAAAAAAATGAACATGAATTTAAATCTGTTGATATACAAGACTTTCTTAATGTATTAGTTATAAAACAGGGTGTTTTTGCGTGTTTGGAAGTAATTTTATGATTTCTTTTTTTCCTTGAGACAGGTTTTGATTTCTCTGTGTTGTAGATGGAAGTTTCTGTCCTGCCTGGTCCTGCAGACATTTAATCCCAAATAAACACACAGAGGCTTATATTAATTATAAACTGTTTGGCCGATGATTCAGGCTTCTTTTTGGCTAGCTCTTAATTATTAACCCATTTGTATTAGTATATGTATCTTCATGTGTTCTGGCTTACTGGAGAGTGCCTGGGTATCCCACCTTTCCGGTAGCTTCATGGCGTTAGCTTCATGGCGTTTTGCTCGAGACTCATTTTCTGCATTCCTCTTCTCAGACCTGTAGTCTGGTAGCTCTGCCTGTACTTCCTGCCTGTCCATTCGCCGAAACAGTTTTATTCATCAACCAATAAGAGAAACATTCACAGCATAGAGAAGGACATCCCTCATCATCTCCTTTTTTTTTTTTGTTTAAATAAAAAGGAAGGGTTTTAACTTTAACATAGTAAAATTAAATATAACAAAACACTTATCAAGCAAATTATAATTAACAATATTTAGTTCACAAACATTTGGCAAAATTTAAAGAAAATAGTCAATCATCTATCTTTGTGAGTCTAAAATTTTATATCTTCAACTCCATCCAAGACCCCAGAAGGATAATATATAAACTCTAGAATTGACAGAGACATCTCATTGCTTGGACAGTCACCCAGTTCCTTTGTAATTTTGGGGCATCCTTCTTCAGCCCATAGGCCATTGTGTCTGGCAGACTCTTTAATGAAGTAGGAAATTTGAAGATCTGTTCTGTCTTGTATTGGAAGAGTTTGTCAGTTGCTTTGTTTTGTAAAGCAGGAACCCTGAGGGCCCATCCTGTCTCTTGGCAAGTTCAGCAGTCACTTTTCTTCTAACCTGCTTGTCCAGTTTGGACAGCATTCTGTCAAGCAGTCCAGACAAGAATAGTTTCTTGTTCAAATGCCTGTCTCTGCCATGTTCAAGGCAAATTCCATAATGAGTTTTTTTTTTTTTTTTTTTGATACCCATTTTCCTCTCTGACGTAATTGGTGTTGCCAGGAGCAGTTGTGTCTCATTGTCATGAAAAACCCTAATAAAACATTTTAAATGTTGGATTCTGTAGGTCTTTGAAAGGTTTTGAAGAATACCTATCCATTTGAAATATATCTCTGTATATCTCGAAAACCTAACTAACCCAAGTTTTGACTATTATAGGTTCCTATCTATAATTTGTATTTAATTATACGTTACGTATTTAAATGAGCTGTATAAACCCAATCAATACCTAAGCAAGAGTAGAAATATACATATAACAAAATTGACCTTAAATTTGTATCAATGAACCCAAATCCATACCAATGTATTCATTTCTATGTCATTCCCTTTTTTCTTTAGAGAGATTAGCTGTGATTATTAACCGTTTATAACCAACCCCATTTAAACAGTATTTGGGAATATAGGTGTACTTCTCATGTAGGCGGAAATTTCTATACTTACCTGGCTACATCCTGCTTGTCCATTTGCCGAGACAGTTTTATTATCAGTCAATAAGAGAAACATATATTCACAGCATAGAGAAGGACATCCCCTGCCACTGTGTAGCCCTGGCTGTCCTGGAACTCAATCTGTAGACCAGCTTGGCCTCAGATTTAGAGATTCACCTGCTTCTGTGTCTCAAGTAGTGGGATTAAAGGTGTGGATCACCACCAACCAGCTAAAATCTTATAATCTTAAACTAGATATGCCTGTAAAAATTATAAGGTTAATGATTAAGCTTTGTTGTTTTAGAAAGAGACCTTATGAGTAGGTTTATATTGGTAATTTAGGGGGAAATTGGCATATTTATATAGACCATTTAGATTTTTAAATATGAAAGTAAACATTAAGCTCTTGATAAAGTTGACTAGAACTGAATGAAGCAAGATACACTCTTGATGTATGATCTAAAAAGTTGTTGCCTTATTCAGATCAAGGGTGTAATTTAAGAGAGTTTATCTAATGATGATAGACTGGCTTAAAAGAGAAGGAGATTCTAGTTCCTGTTCATTGTTTATTTGAACTTCCTGAGATTTAGTCTAATATGCAGAATGGAGATCATACCTACCTTAGTCTTTCATCTTAACTATTTCAATTTTTAGTGTTATCTAGAACTTACGTTGCTAAACATCACTATGACCCTGGGTACTCTGCTAATTACATCACGGAGAGGAAGGGTCGTCAGTTCTTTACTCCCAGAGCTTTAGATACATTGGTTTGCCTTGAGGGATATGTGTGACCCTGGAATGTGATGGAAAATTGAGTGGAGGAAAGTTTAACAGTTAGTGAAACTGAAATTGAGAACTAGAACAGGTATCCAGATGTTTTCATGTTTCAAAAATTTTCAGTGTTTGGCACTCATACCAAGCTTTTAGTTAATACCTATTTGAGTATAAGGAAGTTTTAAGAGAAATGCTTGATGCCTAGGAAATAAAGTGGTTAATATTTGGGGGTGAAGAGTCTGGAGAGTCCTGTGCTTGTTGGATTCAGAGGTATAAAGATAAGAACTAGAAAGGTGCTTGGAGGGCGATACAGCCCAGCCCTTCCCTACTCTGTCCCACTTCCACAAAGGAAAGGATCCTCAGATAAGTGAAGTGTCTTTCGTATAGGTATTCAGCTGATTAGAGGACTAGCAGTCAATATGCTAAAATAATCCAGTTTGTTATGATTGTGTTTTGCATTTGAGAAATATTCAGAAACTTAGAGTGGAAGTTGTTCTATAAACTTGGGAGATTTTGAGCTGTAACTTAGTAGTGATAATTTACTCATGAAAAATACTAATGTTAAGCAAAGAGTATACATTTCAAAGTTTAGCTTTTTTATCTCTGAGCATAAGAGCGGGATAGAGATAAAAGGCCCATTGACAATTAGAACAGTCATGGTTAAGTGCTTTTTAAGATTCATCTGGTTAAACTGGTAATAATAGTAATAAAAACCAGCTGAAACTTAAAGGGGATATTAAGAACCCTGATTTAGTCAGGGTTCTCTACAGAAACAAAACTTATAGAATGAGTCTTCTATAGAGAGGGGATTTATTAGAATGGCTTACAGGTTGTGGTCCAGCTAGTCCAAGAATGGTGTCTATACCAAATGGAAGGTCCAGGAATCCAGCAGTTGCTCTCTTCTCAAGGCTGGTCTCAGCTGGTCGTGGGTACACCAGAATTCCCCCAAAGTAGTCCATCACTGCTAGGGAAGAAGTAGACTTGCTGGCAAGAGAGGTAGTGAGCAGGCAGGGAGAGCTAGCTTCCTGCTTCCATGTGCTTTATGGACTCTGTCAAATAAAGTGTTGCCCAGATATTCCTATGCCAGAATGTCTGGGTTAAAAGTGTATTTTTTCCACCTCAGAGGTATGTTTTAGAAGTGGGTCTTCCCACTTTAAATAATTTAATTTAAAAAAAAAAAGTTTTTTTTCCCTCCTCACAGGTGTGTTCCATCCTTGGGTTTTAGTTAATTCCAGATGTAGTTAAGTTGCTACCAAGAATGGCCTCTTTTAATCCCATTTTTTTAGATGAGGAAATGAAACTGAAGAGATTAAGTAACTTGTTCAAGTTTAAATTAGTGTATAAAAATTTGTACTTAATGAGTTTATGGCTGTAGTTTTATTTTGGGATAGAAGGAAAGTATTAATAACATACAAAGAATTAATCTTTGTTGTAAAATTGCTGTTTAGAAAAATCTTCATTTATGTGGGAAAAATGTAACAAGGCCCACTTAGGCATCATATAATATACTTAGTATTTAGGTTTTATAAATTGTGTATGCCATAATTGAATGCTCAGTTAGGCATGAACCTTCATCTTGATCATTTGTTGACTGCTTGAACAAATTGCTTGCATTCTCTGAGTATTCCTCCTTTATTGGAAGTGATCTCATAGTTATGGTGATGCAGCATGTTGTTTAAGAACAATTTACCTTAAGGTCGGGGCAAATAAGGTTTGGTAAGCAAGCTCAGGCTTTGACCATTTCTTCATCCATTATTTTTCAAACACAGCATAATGTCACTCAGTGTGGAAAGTGCAGGATAAGAGCTGAAACGGAAGATAGGACTAAAGGAAAAAAGTCTCTTAATCTGTATGAATAATTATGTATTCTGGATTCTGCTTTATTACTATTCTAATGCAGTTGGGGGTTTTAGATGTTTCAGAACATTTATTTTGAGGAAATAATTTGTTAATTTACAGCAATATGGGGACATTGAGGATTGTCAGATTGACGACTCTTCACTTCATGCGATAATTACATTCAAGACAAGAGCAGAAGCAGAAGCTGTAAGTGTTAACATAACGAAAGCTTCAGATTTAAATGATTGTCATTTCCTTACGTTTTAACATAAATTACTTTTCAAGTTCACTGAATAACTGTACTTTGACAGAAGGTAGAATATTTGTAGTGTAAGTTTGTTTCTACAGAAAAAGTCAATTTTCTTAGGAAATGTGTATATAATTTAGTATAATAAATACAGTAATAGTGTGTATAAATTATACACCAAGATGAATTTAAAATTGCATTAACTTGATGATGTTGTGAGTTCTTTTTACAGGAGTTAGGGCCACCACTCATTCCTCTGTTCACTGTTTTATCTGGCCCAGAACAGAGTCTGCATTAGTAGAATGAATGGTAAGAGTTATCCAAGAGAGATGCAGAGAAAGAATAATTCTGTTGCCCGCCCTTTTTATTTATCCTTCACCTACTAGTTCCTAATCCCAACAGGATAAGTTCTAGAGAAACATCTCTAGTTTAGCATATGCCTGAATAGAGTGCTGGTATTTGTTCAGAGATAAAGTGTGGCTCTAGCATTTAGAGTTCTTGTGATATTGTTATCTTTATCTATAGGTTTTGAGGTTTTTAAGTTTGTTTGTTTGTTTGTTTGTTTGTTTGTTTTTGTTTTAATGGGATCTTTACTGCTGTGTAGCTGTGGCTATCCTAGAAGGAACTATGTAGTCCAGACTGGCCTTGAACTCACGTAGATCTTTCTGCCTCTGCCTCAAGGGCTGGGATTAAAGGCATGCATCATCATGCCTCTGCCCTGCTCTTGAATTGACTTTCAGAAGATAGCCCAGAAATACCATCACCTTATGTGTGCATGCAGGTTTGCATTATGTGATCACACATTTGTGTGTTTGCCTGCATATGTGTTCATGTGCTTGTAGAGACCAGAGATGTCTGATGTCTTTTCCTTAATTACTCTCATTTTTTATGTTGAGGTAGGGTCTCACTGAGTTCAGCTTGATCCAAGGATTCGCTGAATTCTGGGATTGCTGCTGGACTGTGATTACTTCCTGGCATTTACATGGGTGATACTGTACTCAATGCTTATGTGGGAAGGTACTTAATCCTGTAAGAGTACCCACCTTGGCCTGCAGAGCATGTTTCAGGATAGCCAGGGCTATATAGAAAAACTCTGTTTTGAAAAACAAACAAACCAAAAAGATCCTTTTTGAAAATATTGCGATCTTTTAGAAACATTGGTATATATGTGTTAGGTAGAACCTTAATAAATTTTCTCTGAGATGTGTTAGTAAGCACAAATTAGAAATAAGCTTTTGTAGAGGGAGAGTTTCCTATTTTCTAGGGAGTAGTGATATTATTAAAAAAAATTGTAGTTGTACACTGTTGCTTCAAATATTACCAAGTTTGTGAATCTCCTGGGAACTGTGTGTGCATGCGTGCATGCCTGTGCATGTGCTTAGAGACACAGAGTTTGATGTCTGTTTCTCTGTTTATCCATCTTGTTTTTGGAGGCAGTGACTCCTGCTGTTTTGGCTGGACTGACCAGCCATGAGCCCCTGAGTTTGCTGCCGTGGCTGTCTCTGTATCCCAGTGCTGTTTTACAGACACCTGCAGCCATATCTCACTGTGATGTGGGTATGGGAGATGCAAGTGCATGTCCTTACAGTTGCTCAGCAAGCCCTTCGCTAAGTCATCCCTGCAGCCCTGAGCACTTCATTTAGATGTGTACTGCTGTCAGTACTCAACATTACTCATAGTGACACCTAATTGACAAGCAGTTCTTCCATTGTTCTGCCCTTGTACCTTGCACGTTTTGTATAATAAACACAGTAACATTTAAAAATGAAGACTTATCCCTGACTCATGAAGGTTTAGTAAGTGACTGATGTTAAGCCTACTCATGTAATGAAAGTACTTAACTATTTCTGTTATATTTACTTAAGGTGTAAGGGGAATAGCTACACTGTTACATAAACATTTGAAATTAAGTTCTGAAGCCAAAAAAAACACCTTGAAAGTAATGAAAAATTAAGTTGAAACTTAAATAAGCAGTGTAGATAAATTATTTTGAAACTTACGAATTCCAAAGAACAAAAGTTTTAAGAAATTTAAAATTTAATACTTTGACAAAGTTATGACATTTTATTTTCCTAAGGAAGAATATAAAATACATAACAAGACTATCATTTTCATTCATCAATGGTTTTATAAAATGAAGGAAATTCTGTCATAAAAGAAAGCACCATAAATTCAGGATAAAGGATAGGATTGTTTGAGAAAAGAAAGTTGTTAGCTTTTGCTAATGGTCTTATTTTTTTGGTTCATTTTTCTGTATGAGTCAATGAACATTTCAACTTTCTATGTCCAATAACATATCAGAGTGAAAGTACTGTAAGAATAGTTATCACTGAGATACTGAATTTAAAAAGCAAGGAGGGTCTGCCCAATAAAATTTGACATGATTTGAAAAGTAAAAGTGTAACCAAAACACTTAAATTGTGGTTAATGTTTTGGCTTGATTGACCTTTTTTACCTTTGTAAATTTATTTGTTTTTATTTGTATTTATTCTGTATGTTACATAAGATAATTTCACGTATTCCAAACTGGTCTTGAACTCACTGCATAGCTAAGGATGATCTTAAACTTCTGGTCCACCTCCTCTACCTCCTGGGTGCTAGGCTTACAACAGTGTACCACCATGTGTGGCTCATGCAGTGCTGGGGACCAGGCACTAGGATGTGGTTAAATGGTAAGCAGTTGATGTGTGAACTGAGCTATCCATGATTTTAAACATTAAAATTGGCTTCAAACAAGAATTTCCCTCCCATATTAATATTAACTTCTTTAAAAAAGCATAATTAGAAAATTTAGTACTTTTTCTTTTTTACTATAAATACTTTAATTTTTTTGGGGGGGGGTCCCTAAAGCGTGGGTTTGATGACACATAAAACCTGCCAGGGTTACATAGCAGAACTACCTCAGAGCAACACAGTAAGAAAAACCAAACCAAACAAAAACAACTTCTGGATAAATCTTGGTAATCTGGAAGATTTTGTAAACTGGAGTTTTTATACTTAGATGAGTTTATTTCCTGCTTTTCTTGTTTTGTGCATTTTTTTAATATTTAGTCCTAGTTCCATTAACATTCCTATTCTATCCTTCTTTCCTGAAGTACCATATAAAAGTGTATGTAAAAATACTGATGTGATACTTGTTAACATTTTAAAAACATTTATGAAGTTCCTTCTTTAATGTAAATTTCTGTGACATTCTTGCAGAACTCTTGCTGTTCTTACTTAATATACTGTATGAAAACAGTACAAAAGCTCATAGAATATCATTAACTGACACCTGTTAAAGGTCATTTGTTAACTAAGTGTATGAGAAATCTGAGAACAGCCTGACTTAAAACCCAGGACATTGCCATAAGAAACCCTAAAGCAGTGTTGGAATGATGTCTCCACACTTAAAGAGTGCCTGCTGCTCTTCAGATGACCCAAGTTTGACTCAAAGCACCCACACAGCTCATTATAACCACATGTCACTCTAGTCTCCCTTTCTGAGAGAGAGACAGACAGACACACACACACACACACACACACACACACACACACACACACAAGAACGAATCTAAAGCAAAAGTGCTTGTGGAGATGGCTCAGTCAGTAAAGTGCTTGTTGTGTAAGACATGATGGAGCTTCTGGTCTCCAGCACTCGGCAAAGCTAGGCATGGCAGATGAGAGTCTGTAACCCATTGGGGTCGTAGACGCAGCTAGAACCTGGGGCTTGCTAGCAATCTAGCCATTCCTGCCAGGTGGATGAGCTTTAGGGTTAATAGGAGATCGTGTCTCAAAAAAATAAGGTGGGGAGTGACTAAGGAAGGTATCGTGTGTCAACTGCTGTTCTAGATGTATACATGTAGATGTATGTATATCTATATACATATAGGACAGCTGTTCTATATAGATATGCGCATATATATGTATATATATATCTGCATATGCCCAGGCATTCAGACACACATACAAATAATAAGCAGATACATACAGATTGTTTTTTTTTTAAAATACTATCTTAATGCAGTGCAGGCTTTTTAAATCATGGCATGATATTCACAAAAGAAAACTCTGATAACTTTTAAACTTTATGTTGAAATGAAAGAATAATGACTTTCTAAAATTATAACAAAACAAATGATCTGGCAAAAATATGTTCCCATAATTAAGATAAATTTCTATTCTATTGGAAAAATCCAAACAGGCTGCACTGTTTAAAAACAGTGGGACTAGAGAGGTAACTTGATGGTTAAAAGTGAATACTGCTCTTGCAGAGGACCCGAATTCAATTTCCAGCACTCATATCCTTCAGCTCACAACACCTGTACCTCTAGCTCCCAGGGGTCCTGTGTTCTCTTCTGACTTCCACTAGTACTGTTCTTGTCCCAAATTATTTATATAATGGTGGCTATCTCTTAGTCTGATGATAGTGATAATCATGAGTAATAATTTTTTATACTGTGTGGCTTAATTTTGAATTTTTAGAAAATATAAAATGAAGCTGGATGTGATGTGGTACACTCCTTTAATTCCAGCACTAGGGAGGCAGAGGCAGGCAGATTTGAGTTTGATGCTAGCCTAGTCTGTAGAACAAGTTCCAGGACAGCCAGGGCTACACAGAGAATCCTTGTCTTGAAAACAAACAAATAAATGAACAAATAGAAACCCTGTCTTGAAAAACCAAGATAGAGATACATAGGTAGGTAGGTAGGTAGGTAGGTAGGTAGGTAGGTAGGTAGGTGGATAGAATGGCTAAGTTAAAAAAAGAATTTTGTTTTAAATTATCTGAAATATATACTAATTTCTTAAAGGCCTATAGTAGTTTTTACTACAATGAAAATAATTGTGGAACTTAATGTTTTTTGTAAGAAAAGCTTAGGTTTCTTGAATTAAATTTTCACCTTCATGGAACAAAAAATTCAAAGCTGTTTTCACAGGGTTATCTAGTCTGAATCGTTAACAGTTTCTAATGAACAAATTTCATTAAAAATTAACAACACCTAGTTTTTAAAAACCTCCCGTAACCAAGAGCAATGGTAATAGTGATGTTTTGGATATCACTGGACCCTCCATACAGTTTTTTAAATAATTAAAACTGTATTAATTTAAAAGTTCACCTTACAGATTTGAAAAATGCATGTTGGATATAGAGATTGGATGAAATTAAGTCGTTTGAAATATTTGTCAGGTATAGTGTTTTTTGCAAGGTATAGTGTTATAATTCAGCAGGAGGATCATGAGTTCATGTCTAGGTAGGGTTACACAGCAAAGACCTTTTTTTCTGAAGCAAAACCAACTACACACCCAACATTTACTGTACATATTGCTGATCACAGTTTTGTACTTTTTATATTTTCTTTTTTGGGTAAATAGAAAGAAGTTTTGGGTATTTTGCATGTGGCATATGTCATTCTTAATCTGATTTACTTTAATGATATCAGCTTCAATTTTCATTGTTTTCTGAACTAAAACATGCATGTGTATATATTTAAAATTTGTACATGGGGGCATTAATATTATATCAACACAAGTTCAATTGTCATTGAATATATAATTGTTTCTACAGTTCATATTATTCTGTACTTTGGATCTGTGCTGCAAATCTTTTGTGAGCTTGAGTTACTTTAAAATGTTGCTAATGTTGATTTATGTTCATTCTTGTTACTTTAAATGGTGTTTCCATGCCAGCTACTGAATGTAGCAGGAACTTGGAACTGAACATTTATTGAGTTCAACTGTCATCAGCATCAGTTACAAAATGTTTTCTAGAACCTGTGCTTTTCTGTAGTAAGCTCAGAGCTGTGATCTTGCTCTGTCCTTGAGGTGTTTACTATTTGTGTTAGTTATGCATCATTTTACAGTGGTTTTGATCATTAATTTGAAAACAATCTTATACTTTATATGCAATTTACTTTTGTTAAAAGTTTCTAGTTACAAGTCACTATATATATATACACACACACACACACACACACACACACACACACACACACACACACACCAGTTGTGAATTAACAGTTAAAATGAAGTAAAATTCATGTAGTCTGTTGATTTTAATAATAGATATTGATTCAGAAACTAGAGCCAAAATCTTGATGAATATTGGGATTGTCTAAGTAGTAGTTATCATTGTACTGAAAACTGGCAAACATACTGTTTTCTACTCAAATTTTGGCCAAGAGTAAAACAGTACTTGATTATGAGAAATATTTTACCTCACTAGTATTGTTTTAAGAGGTAAATAAATATAAAATAAATAGTAATTATAATAATAAGTTGAGATAAATGACCAAACAGCAAACAAACAAGCAGCTGTCTTTGAGTTTTTCTTTTTAAATAGTAGATATTAAAAAATTTAATTTTTCTTCAGAAATTATTAATGTTCTTCACGCCCGTATTTTTAATTTTTAGGCTGCAATTCATGGAGCTCGTTTCAAAGGGCAGGATTTAAAACTGGCGTGGAATAAACCAATAACTAACATTTCGGCTGTGGAAACTGAGGAAGTGGAACCTGATGAAGAGGAAGTATGTTGCTTTTTTTCTTTTCACTTGTTTTCCCATCATTCATAATTTATTTATTAAAGGTGACTTTTATGGCTGTGATTTTTTTAACATAATATTTTTATTCCTAAGCCATATTCCAGCCAGGGGAGATCAGATAAATGCAGACAACTTTATATTTTATGGATTAATGAGACTTTTGGATTGCTAACCCCCAAAGAATATATGATATATCAGTTTTCAGTTCCTCTATAAGATAATAATTATTCATTAGATTTTTATTCACAGGAAATCTTGTACTAATATGTTAAGTTTTAGGGTATTTATTTTATTCAGTTGCTATATCAATATTTCAGCTTTCTTTTAAATTTATACTGCTGTAGTACATCAGAGTGACTGCCTGCTATGTGGTAGATTTTGTGATAGACACAAAAATGAATAAGACACGGTCCCTATCATCAAGGAGCTTATAATCTGGAAAAGAAGGTGGTGGCAGAAACAGAGGAAACTAATTACAATAACAAGCATAGTGATGTGCCGAATGAAGATTTGAACAACATGCTCTGGGAGCCCTCAGGAAAGAATGATTGTGTCTCTCCAGAATAATCCTAAAGGTCTTCTGCCAGTAGAACCGAGCCCTGAATGACAAAATAGTGTTCTGTAACTACGTGCTGGGCCTGGGAATGAGTTGAGAAAGGCATTTTCAGCAGAATTCTAGTTTCAGGATAAGATTGCATTTTTCTCAGGTAACAGCAGCTGTTGCGTGGGCTAAAAGGTATGGCAGGTAGGACAGTGAATCAAAAAAGCCCCTGACAAAAAGATTTAAAGTAAGCATTCTATTTGCTTAATCATGAAAAAAGTTATAGGAAAAGTTGAAGAAGTTAAAAAGTAAAGGTAAGGTAAAGAAACAAAGACTCTGCTTACGATTTGTTAGAGTACCTTAATGATGCTTCATTTCATTTGAAGAGCATTCCAAGTATGTTATGCATATCCATAGTCAAATGCAAGAATAAATGTGTATCTGAAACTCATGTACATGATTTGTCATTTTATATTTTAGATTATACCTTTGTCCTTCCATGAGTTTGAATTGAATGGGGAGAAAAGCAGGAGAGCTCCTGGTATTAGGTATTTTGAAAGTTGGGAAAGCAGTCTGAGAAGAGTTTTTGAAGGGAATGGGAAAAGAAAGATTTTTTTTTTGTTTTTTGTTTTTCTTTTTTTTTCCTAAAAAAAACTTTATATATAGCAAAAAATTTGAAATTGTGGTAGAATTTTTATAAGCCATTGGTTGCTTGAGTGCTGAGGGTTAGGTTGAATCAGGGAAAATTGATGTGTTCCCTTTTTAAAGAAGCACTGAGCAGTATTTTGAAGTATAGCAGACGCATGATTTGTTAGAGTAGAAGTGGCATGAACACAACCTTAATTTGATATTCATTGCTTACTTCATGTAAGCAGTAAAACTACTGTAGGGAGATTGAGTGGGTAAGGACTGCTTTGTGTTCTTAAATGTTCTAGCTATAGAGATAACCATTTGTATTCAACTCTTGAGAAAGTGTTTAAAAGTGTTACTTTTTTTCTTTTTCTTTTTTTTTCTTTTTTTTTTTTTCTTTTCTTTTCATTTTTTTTTGGGTAAACTCCTAAATACATCTTAACCTAAAGTTTCAGGAAGAGTCTTTGGTGGATGACTCATTACTTCAAGATGATGACGAAGAAGAAGAGGACAATGAATCTCGTTCTTGGAGAAGATGATTTGACTGATCATTGATCTGCATATGCTAGAACTCTACCTGTGTTCCATTAGTATTACCTAATGTACTTTTACATATTTGTAAAAACAATTTTTGGTAAAATATGAAGATGGATTTCCCAAATAGATAAAAGAGAAGAAAACTACCTTCTGATCTTGTATTTTGAAAGATTGATGTTTGCATTTTATTTCAGTAAACAATTGCTAAAGACATCACAATAGAACATATGCAATGTTTTTATTACATACTTCTATTGAACATTACAGAATTATTTGGGTTATTTGTAAATTAATGAATAGATTTGAATACTTACGACCCATTACTTGTTATAACATAGATTTTGTTTTACTCCAAATAAGGAATGAATTTGCATTTAAAATCTTAATGAATGTTTTCAAAAATGAATAGATGACATAGTACTCTTAACTAAAGTCTCCAAGTTATGTATTCATAATATTACATAGTAGTATGCTTAGGCTTTACTATGTATTAGCCATTTGTTGGATTTGTGTCTGTATTTTATCACATGGGTGTCAATGATAATGGTGTATGACTGCTTTATGAGTCCTTATGCATCTGGATGCTAAAAATAAAGTGGAATGGTCTCTTAAAAGAAAAAAGAAAAGAAAAAAAAACAATGAAAAAAAATCCATGACAATGTTCTTTGATTTAAAAAAAAAAAAGAAAAACAACAAAAAAAGATAAACAAAAAAAAAAAAAAAGAGAGAGAGAAAAGAAAAAAGAGAAAATGAAACAGACCATTCCAGATGGTGATCTACCTTTCCCTACCTATCAAAAGGAGCTCTAATCTCTAAATAATAATGGTATTGGTACTTTTATAATGATGTACAATCCAATGTTTAAAATTATACCACTTCAGTTTGGTTTGATCATATAAATTTTCAACAGATGTCTTAAAATTTAGAAGCAGGCTGATTAGTTTGGAACCAGACTTCAAGTAGCGCTAACATTTGGTGAATAAGACAACTTCATATTACATTTTGGATGTATGAAAGAAAACTTGACCATTTGAAGATGTATGAATAAAGAAATGTACTATAGATACTACTTTAGGAAAACACTGTTTGGTAAGTGTTCCAGTCTGATATTTTAAGTGTGCATTTACTATACTTACATAAAAATCTCTCACGTTTGCAACAGTAATTGTGATTTTTTTTAAAAAGTGGAATTCTCTGGCACGTGAATATAATTATTGAAGTTACTAAACCATTTCCAAGAATTATAAATATGTTATTTGTAGAATAAGGGTAGGAGATTGCTCATCTTTTTAAAAACTTTATATTCATTTCAAGTATTTCTGCTTCTCAAGATTATAGTGGGTTTTTGTTTTTGTTTCTGGTGTGTGTGTTTTTTTTTTTTGTTTTGTTTTGTTTTGTTTTTTTTTTAAATAACACATTGTAACAGAACTACTTTTTCCATTTTGGGGCCAACACAACCAAAACCTAGTCTCTTGCCATAACTCATAATGATTTTGTGTCTTTTTCCCCTTAACATTGGGGTTATAGTTGTATGTTTTTATGGCAGTACTGTTTTATAGGAATGTTTGAGTTGGAGTTAGTACACATTTATACATAAAATTTCAAACTCAGATTCCACTTGATGAAATAATGACTCTAAAGTTTACTTAGACTGTGGTATATTTTTATGTAGTCTCTTGTGTGTTTACTATGTGCTATTCTGATTCATTAGGTAAGTTTGTTTTCTTTTCTTTTTAGTAGTCGTGAAAGATGCCAAATTGGCAGAGGCTCACGTTTCTTCTCTTTACACCAAACAGGTATTATAAAGAAAGTAAATCTTTCCAAGGCCAGTTAAATCTCCTTTCTATTTTTGGCTTTATGATTTGAATATAGTTTCAAATTTTATTGTAAATTTCCCTAGAAATGTAATAAAATTACCAGCTTTATCCAATTAAGCTCATAAATAGCTCATCAAGTTCTCTAGCCTGAAATTGCCTAATCCTTAAGAATTGAAAATATTTTAAGGTGTGGTGCTTTGAATGAATCAGAAGACCAACTATGGCTCAATATGGTTCCCCTAGGGTGAGGATTGCATATCCCTAATATTTGTTAGATCACAGTTGTACTTTTATAGTAATTAATCTGGCTTTAATTATGTGTTATTTAGTGATGCATTGCTATTTGGCTTTTAATTCATAAGTATTTTAATTCATAAATACTAGTACTCTGTCCACATTTATATTTTTCACTTAAAACTGAAAATGCCTTCTAAGTAGATGGTAGTTCTCATTTTATTTATAAGAAAACAAGCTGCTAGAAATGGAGTGTTTACCTAAAGTCATAGTAAGTGGAAGTACTAGATACAGGCGTGATTTCAGTACCAACTTTACAAAAAGAAAAAAACTACACAATTCTGCTGATTTCTCCTTCCTTTTTACTGATGAACCATGAGATTGTGCTTATAATCACCATGTTAGTCTTTAATCTCAAAATACTGCACAGTATTAGTGGACTTCTTGGTCATTAGACAGTTCATATGTTTACCCTTTTAAAAAGCATTTTGTTCATATCTCTGTTATAATATTTAATGTTGTAATATAATTTATATGGTTTATATGTTTGTCTTCCCTGCTAGATTGATTGCAAGCTCCTCTAGGAAGGGGACCATGTCTTATTCATCTTTTTATCTCTAGTGCTTATAGAAAAGCCTTGCTCATGTTAGCACTTAGATGTTTGTTGGATGAAATAATGAATGGATGCATATTTAAATTTATAGTAATGAGATTGACAATTAACCTCCCTTGTTAATTCTTATCAATTTTCTAAAATATCTTTCTGGATAGTTTTCTCAGTCACTGGGGCCATTTTATTATATAGGGTTATGTGTTTCATCACTGGGGGGTTACAAGTAGTGATGGAGGTAGACACCTATAATCAATCCTGACATATCCCCCAGTTAAGGCATCTGTATTGCCTCATATTAAATATTGTAGTCTTTTCTAGGGGTTAATTTGGGTTTTTTAATGGAGTGCATTGTTAGAAATGCTGAGAACCTCCAATCTAGACCATTTCACTAAATTTGTTTTGTAGAGAAGTGGACAAGGATTAAGAGATTAATCTTTTCTTAAGCTCTGTTGTAGCTAACTCTGTGGACAGGTTTTATGTCTTACATAAGAGTTTTTTCCTTATGCATAAAATGGAAAGAGTTGGACTGGATGATCTCTAATGTCTCCTTTATCTCTCTACTGTCCCTGGTGATATACATTAGTCTATGTTTCCAAAACAGTTCTGTTTCTATAAGTCAGTCTACCTGATGTTCTGTTTCTCATTAGTGGAAACAGCTTAGCTTTGATTACAATAATTTACATGATACCTCTTGCTAAAGTTTTGTATGTATGTTTTCAAACACTTGCATTTGCCAAGTAAGTTGCATTTAGCCTAAAAGTTCAAGTAAACTTCTGTGTTTACAAGTTCTTCCCATTCCCATTTATAACTTTCACTTTGCTTCTCAACTTGGTTTGAGAAGTATTAACCTTTTATACCATTTTCCAACAAATCCAGATTTATGTCCTCTTTTCCATCTCCATTTTTTCTGCTGCAGTATGTCACCTAAAAGTAGAACCCTCCTAAGCTTGGTGCTTTGTTTATATCTGGTTACCTGTCTGGTTGTCCAGGTAGGATTGAGAGTGGGGAAAAGGGTTAAAGGCAAGGTAGGCAACTACAGGGAATATTGTATATTTCTTTTTAAAAGATTGATTAGGATTACTTCAAGGGATGGTTGTCACTTTGCATATTTTTAATCTCTAAACAGTGTATAAAATGTTATTGGATAATTGTAACTTTTTAAAACAAATAAGTAACTGATGCCCCAACACATAATGAAAACATGTTGCAAGAAATGGAAGACTATTCCATAGGTTCTGTTTTATTGTAATATGGTCAAATGTAACAAACCAGTAGTTTACTATGAAGATAAAATTTCACTGTTTTAGCTGTTAATTTGTAGCAAGTATGGCTAAGCCTCACTGAAGAAGGTATCATGTTACCAGAACTGTTTTCTGGGGATTGGGAAAAGGGGCTGTTTTCCAGTTTGTTTGGAACACTAACCATTGTGTGTAATGGCTCAAAAAGAAATCAAACATTTACTTATTTAGTTTGCTATGGCTGCCTCAGAATACTATACAACAGATCTTATCAAGATATATTTTCTCCCCATCTCCCCTACAATGAACATAGGCTAATTATAGAAAACTAGTTCTAGGATTTATATAGCTATCAGTAACCCTATCCCCTTAAAGAGTCAGTAAGCCTACAAAACAAGCTGTCCTAAAAGATGATTGGATTACTCACCCTGGGTTTTTCTCCCAGGACAGTTTTTCTTCTAAAATTCTGTGAACTAAAACATAGACACAATAACAGATTGTAAATCACTAGTATAAAAGCCAGAAAGAAAACACCCTTCTCTTAGACATGAAGAGCTCAACTTTTGTCCGTTCTTTGGACTAAAAGCTTGTTTTACAGTATGCATGTGATACTATAGAAAAGAGGTTGGGTTTTGGTGTTTTTTTTTTTTTTTTTTTTGTGTGTGTGTCTGTGTTATCACACAGAATTATAATCTTTTAAATAGCTACCCAGTTCTCCTAGGAAAGGAAAAAAAATGGCTGGCCATGATTGCTATTATCAGTAATTTGTAATGAAAACATATATGCTTAGTAAAAAAAGAAAAAAAAATCTAACTTGACATAGTTTGTTAGTATTCTGTGTTCATTACTTAAGTGAAAACATTTTTAAATTTTACTTCTTTATATTAACTTTTTATATTTGATCTTTTCTAAATCTCCCTTCTATTTCTTTGTTTCACCCACTGATAGTACCCACCTAAAGTTTTCTTCATATTCCAGGCACTGTTGTTAATGTGTTCTTTTTAACTTTTTTATTGTTGCACTCAGTGCTTGGTTTAGTATTTTGTGTCATATAGTATGATTAAAGAAAGAAATGATCATTGTATGGACTTCAAAGAAATAAGGTATCACTCCAATTATTTTGAAACTCTTTGGAAAAACTTATTTTTGCTAGCCAGGCAGTGGTAGCGCACACCTTTAATCCCAGCACTCAGGAGGCAGAGGCAAGTGGATCTCTGTGAGTTGGAGGCCAGTCTATTCTACAAAGCTATGCAGAGAAACCCTGTCTCATTTTAAAAAAAGAAAAACAAACAAACTGTGTTTGCTTTTGGTTTATTTACCGTGACTTGGCTTGTACATGATTTTTAAAAATTTCTTTGCCTACTCACAGCTCTGTATAAAAATACCACCTGACCAGTTAGTAGATTTTCTAAAACCTCCCCACCCCACCCCCTACCCCCACCCCCACCCCCAATGCATACACTAGTTTCAATGATAGCTATTTTGTAGTGCTACAATCTTGATACCTAATGTTTTTGGAAAGCAAGATGCAGAGAGGTTTTGTTAAACATCACTTTAGTCCAAAAGGTAATCTTTGATACAGTTTGTCTGCCACTTTCATTTTGATTCTTCTCAAATAAGACTTTTTAAAATCTTTTAATGAGTTAGAATTAGTTGATACTGCAATTCAGTTTTTAGGTTCTTCTGTTACTTATTTTTTTAATAAGTGTTCTCTTTTTTCAGCAGAGAGAGAACATCACTGCCTGACTTTTAGCTTTGTGACTACATGAGCAAGCCTTGTCCTGTTGGAGGCGACTGTTAATACCATCACCCTGTCACTCGGTTTGCCCTTTTCCAATCTGAATAGATGTTTACATATTCTATGGTGACCATTTTATCTTTCCAGTTCTGTACTAGTACATCTCAGTCACGGGTATCAAATGTGTCATCTTTCTGAACTTAGAAATACACAATGTTGTCTTTCCTTATTTTATAGCAATTTAATGTGTAAAATACCTTAAGGAACAAGGCCTTTTGCTTTCCTAATGACATATATTACATCTCAGCCAAACTGAGAATTGTATCTGAGAAATCTATATAAAGCCATGAGAGCATTAATTGAACAGTTTAGAATGAAGAAAATGAATTAAAAAGTTAAAAATAAGTTTGGCTTTAATTTTTCTTATTTTTAGGATGTATTTATTGAATTAGGATAACCAGTAAAAATGATTTTGAGAAGACTATAAAGTACTTTTTACATATTGTAATTAATTTGTCTGTTCTTGTGAGTGTATTAATTGATATAATTGCTAGGGCTATTTAGTCCAGTAAACTGTTGTTCTTAACTCTTCAAAAACAAGGAAAATAATTTTACTTCTTTTCAAGTAATAAATGATGATCTATGGGTTCTAAAATTGAACATCTACTAAATTTGTCTAATTTACACAATTTTCATCATTTGTAATCAAGACATCAAAGACAATCTTACAAGCAAGGGGAAATAGTGTTACGTGTTCTTTTTTAAAGATTAGTTCTCAGCCGCTTTAAAAGTATATGTACTAGTAACAAGCAATATAGCTTAAACTTAGAAAGTGGACAATTAAAATTCTCATTCTAAAGATTAGCAAAATCCTTTTTATAGCATACCAGAATTATTTTTTAACTAAGTTATTTTGAGTATGCATTAATAGATCCTTACAGGTATTTGAGAAATCTAATACTATAGTCACTCTTACCCAGGAAAACCCAAATTATATTGCGTCTGCTTTTGTTTTCTTTCTTTTGAAAAGTTGTACTGAGTCATAATTTCTTACACAAAGCTGGTATCTTACAAACACTTTTTCCTCTTGAGTGTGCATTGTGATTGTCTTCATGAATAATAAAATGTAACAAAATCATTAGTCATGTTATAAATTATCTGTCTTGATCCACATTGACTTACACATGCATGGTTAAAGGACAAGCATATATTTTAAGTAATTATTACCTAAGAGCCTACAAGATATTTTGTTCACCCCACACACAATTTTTTTTGTTGTTGTTGTTGTTTTTTAAACAAATTGTCAGCCATGAGGAATTTGTACCAGAATAGTTGTTATTTTTTATTTTCAAACAAGTCTTACAGTAGTAGTGTTGTAGCTGCTTAAGTTAGAGCCAAAGAACATGGTCTGAAGAGTCCATAACTGCCAGTAACTCTTTTGATGGATTAATTGGTGAATGCTACATATTGTCACCTTAAATTTATTTTGCCATTCCTTTTTTCTTTTGCTAATGAATAAAAAAAGCAAAACAAAATGGAATTTGCCCCTGGGAATCAGAAGTTAAGTTGATGTCTCCTTAATTAAGATCAGTGTATTTCTTTGAAAATTGTTGGGCGAATCAGTTGGTCAGTTACATTTAAGTCCTTATCCATTGTTTATGGGGAGTCTTCTTTAAATGTGTTCCCGGATAAACTTGTAGTGGAGCTCTGTGTACATAAATGTACAGAATCATTTTTGTGTAATTGAATGGAGCAGGTTACCTCTGCATGACTGCATTATGGAAGCCTTTTATATTATCTTTATATTTTTCAATATACTTAGATTTTACACTATTGGTCGCTCTAGTCATGCTATATTTGTTTTTTTTAATAGAATTTATAAATATTTATGCTCAGAATACAGATCAATTAAATATTTTTGGTCTTGTTTACAAGATACTACTTTAAAGAGATGTAGTCCCCTCAAGTGTCTTAGGAAACAGTCATTGGTGCTATAAGATCTTTCAGGGTCATTGAACCTGTTGTCTAATCTTTGCTAGGCTTTAATCTATTATTGCTTACAATAATCCAGCTAGCTGCAGAATTATAAAGTGGTATATGTTGAATCGGGGTAAGAGCCCAGCCCCATTAGAGAACACCTAATAATTTAAGAAAATGATGCAGAATGACTGTATCCTTATTTGTGCCCAGCTTCTCCCAAAAGAAAATAGTTTATTTTGATAAGAGGAAGGCTATTTCATTTGGTTAGAATTTTAAAATGATATATTCAAGCATGGATTTTCCCTCATATTTGAAATTGAAAACTTTTCTAGGCCTAAAATAATTATGTAATTCTGCTCTGCTTTAAATTCCCATCTGTCCTTTACTCAACTGAAGGCAGAGTATTTCTTACAGATATTCACAGAATATTTGAGTTACAAAGAAATGAGTTGTATTGTACAAGTTTTCCCTTGATGTGTACTTTTTATTTTGCCCCCAAGATTCTATTCTAGCACCTTAGTGAATGTTCTTAAGATACAGTTAGGTTATCAGCAAAGCATTCATACATGTTTACTTTTGATTCTCGGAATCCTAAACCTGTAATAATACTTCAGAACATACTGTCTGGCACAAGATTTCCTTTAATAAGTGATTTATTTTAACTCAGTTTCTATGGACTGTTGTTGAATCTGAAAACACCAAAGGAGTTTTTTCTTGTCTGAAGACTGGGTTGTTCCAGTGGTTAGTACCTGTGCCCATAATTATCCCATTTCATGAATGCGTGTTGGCATGGGGGAAATTCCCTGCTCTTTGAGTGGAGCGAAAGTAACTGGTTAAGCTGTAGCAGCTTCCTTGTTTATTTTTAAAAGTGATGATAAAACTTGAACTGAAAAGGTAAAACTTGAACTAGAAAATTACTCTTGTATGCACAGAATGTTTATAGTGACTGTGTTTTTGTGGGTTGTCAACACTTCTATTATTTATAGTTGAATTATGTTGTTTTGTTTATTAAATATCCATGTTTATTATTTTTATATTTTGAAACTTTTAAAAATAAAAGTCTTAATAAAAACAGTTGTTAATGTTTTAAAATCACCTTACATCTCATAGAAATTATATAACTAAGTTGTCTCTACCATGCACACACGGTTGAGACTTGTGAAACTTTCAGTGGGGAGTCACATGTCTCTTCTTTCACTCTCTGCCCTCTGCTCTCACTTGAAGTTGTTTAAGGTCAACCATTATTCCAGTGTGTTACTAGCCCCCGTGCACAAACCTTAATTATCATTTGTCCTTAGTTCTTGCTTCTGTAATGCTGAAGTTTCTTTTTGTTCCATTTGGTTGCCAAGCGAGTTCTTCCTGTGTTGAATGATAAGTACAGACATGCTCCAGTGACGGATAAGAATGGCTGCCGGGGCATGTGACGTGAGATTATGTATAAAATGCTTTTGAGCAGTGATCCACACACTCACAGAATGTTTTCAGGAGTTACCTTGTAAACGCATGGTCATTCATATTCGTCTTTCTTTTCTCACATTGAGCATGTTCCTTTCATAGTTGATTGATTCTATTGCAAGTATTCCATATTATTTTGGGTTTCATTGAACTATATATATACATCTATCACAAAAAGTTTGAGGGTAACTTCTACTTGAGACAGTCTGGGGATTAAAAATACATCTTTATCTTAAAGGGTATAAATCTTGATAATCTATATAGAAGTTTAGTTTTTAAACTGTAAAATTTAATGGTTCTTGATAATATTACTGCTAGGTTTGTAGCTACATACATGAAGACACACACATGCACACAAATATACAGCCAGTCCTTTGGGTATTTTTAGATTGTGTTGTCAGTTTCTACTTCACCCAAAAATATTTCTTCAAAAGAATGATTTTTTTTTCTTTTTTGGTCTTTTTAAAAATTACATGTAATTATGTATTGTAGGAAAGCTAGAATTTCTTTTTATTCTCTACCATAGAGTATACCCTATGTATACTCTATTCATAGAGGATACCCCTCCCCCACCCCTCCCTCCACTCCTCCCTCCCTTTCTCCCATACCCACTGTTCCTCCTCTTTGAGAAGAGAGCAAGACTCAGTGATGTCATTGGAAGCCTGAGTACCACAGAGCAGTGAGACTAGGCAGGGACCCTCATGCTAGGCTGGGTGAGCTAGCCCAGTGCTGTAGGAGAAGGGTCCCAAGAGCAGGCAAAAGTGAGACCCCTCTGCTCCCGCTGTAAGAAGGCCCTCAAGGCCCTCAAAGCTAAACAAGCATACCCTGTATGCAGAGGGCCGGGCGCAGACCAATGAAGGCTCCGTGATTCTGGAGAAGCTAGAGACACAAACAGTGAACTATCCAATTTATACTTTTGGCAAGTATATAGTAATTTTAATCCTTCAACTATGAAGTGGAATGAAGTAATTCCTGCTTAAGCATCATAGAGTGGGCAGAAAATCTTTTATTAGCTTTTCCTTTATGGTTGTTTCTTCATGACATTCTTAACTACTTAAAAGTATACCTAGAGATATACTTTGCATAGTATAGACATGTAGGTTCTTTAATAATTTGGATTTAGGTGTTTCCTTTGCATTTTAGTAGAACTCTTTGAATTCATTTGTTCCTGTCACAACCACAGTATTCCTGTACCTAAGTATTGATGCAGGAGTGACTCTTGCTAGTGATGTTTTTTACAACATACAGTTGCCAGGATTACTTTTTCTTGGAACTGCAGTTTTTAGTAATTGTTCTAACAGTATTACATATTTTAGTAAAAGATGGATGGTAAATGCTCATGGAATTTCCATCTCTAAACCATATTCAAGAATACACAAAGATAATTTTTTTAAAAAAATGTTTTTTAATCTTCTAGCCTGCTTTTCTTTAGGAAAAAAAAAGGTTGTATTTTTGATGAAGTACATGGTGATAAAAACAAAGCGTCAAATAGAGAGTAAAAGAACATTAATGAGTAGATAGTTGTGCTTCTGTGTCCTTTTTTTTTTTTAATATCATCAAATTCCAGTGTGTTATTAGCCCCCGTGCACAAACCTTAATTATCATTTGTCCTTAGTTCTTGCTTCTGTAAGGCTGATGCTTTCCAGGAGGGGTCAACATATCTGTCACTTGGAGTAGGAACCAGGCCCTCCCTCCTGCCTCTAGGTTAAGGGAGTATCCCTCCATGGGGAATGTGCTCCCAATGTCCTTTCCTGGTTAGGTTGCACTGCTCCTTACCTATCCGAGGAAGTGGCTGATAATTAAACTAATGAATGTTTGCTTTTCCTGGCCTTTGGAAAGTTGGGAGTCATCCAAAGGTCGGAGAGAGAAGCAAATACATACTTGCAACTTACTTGCTGGAAGAAATCAAACGGGGTACTGTGGAGCTAAACTTGGGTTGGGTAAAAAGACTTCCTAGTGGAAGTTCAGTTAATACCCGAAACCAGCAATAGTTCAGTAGGGGTGGGGGGGGCAGTCATAAAAAGCTTTTTATTAGTCTATGGTAATACCTAATGAATCTCACTTGTTTTTATATGTGTGTATGGTATACTGATAAGTACACCAATCCTATTTCTCTTCATTAGCTCTCTCTCTCTCTCTCTCTCTCTCTCTCTCTCTCTCTCTCTCTCTCTCTCTCTCTCTCTCTCTCTGTGTGTGTGTGTGTGTGTGTAGCCATTCTCCACAGTTTTAATTATGACTGCTTACAGGATTTTGGGTAGGGTAGCTATATCACCAAAGAAAATATCCCTCTTGCAACCATTAAATAACTTGTCGTTATTGAAAGTGGTTGAGCCTCACGCGCCCTTCCCCGCCCATGTTTCCTGACTCAGTCCTTTGTAGGTAATCATTGCTGCCAAAAGTTCAAAGCTTCAGTGGCCTTGTAATACCTAAAAGACAGTACTATTACATTCTCACTTCTTCCTAACTTTTCTACTTTATTTCCTGAACCTGTGGGGGTGGGCGTGGGGTGGGGGGGTATGGGTGGAGTGCAGGTACAAAATCCATTTCAGCCTACACCCTGAACAGGCACAATCTCGACAGTTACACTAGTTGGGAATTGCTGTAGTAATGTAGTCCCACTGTAAAAAGCTTCTCTGAAACTGACAGCAGCACACCTATTGAAATAAAAATATTTAGAAGGCAATTGATGTGCACAGTATGGCCATTTTGCAAATAACAGTCAGTAGTCACTGCTGTCCTACATACTATGGCCATCCCAGCCATGAGCTTTTGATATCATTTTACAGTGCCAGACCTGAATTCCCCCCTGTGGAGCAGTCCTCAAATCAAATAAGTGTTGGTTACCTCCATAACTCAGGCCACTATTACGCTGGTGTGTGCACATCTTGCCTAGCAGTCAGTAGTTGAAGCATTCAACATCCACAGCTGAGTAAAACTTGGTGGTAATTCTCCCCAGCAGTCTTCATAACACCTTTCAACACCAAGAAAGTTAGCTAGTAGGGAGCAAGCCTCTAGCTCAGCTTCAGCTTTGTATCTCTGCAACAACAAAAAAAATGTGTCTTCAACAATAAGATGTTAATAGTCTACTTCTGGTGCGTAACCAACAGCAGTTTAGGAGGACCCAGGGGCTTTTCTAGCCAAAAACTCACATGTAAGTAGCCCATCCCTGTTGTTGGAGGACTTTGGCTTAATAAATGGTTTCTGAGAGAAGCTTTATAGAAAATATGTTCTAGGTTTGTTAAAAAAAAAAAAAAAAAAGACTAGGGCATCAAATATAGTGCATTTCAAACACTGAGAGAAAGCCATTATAACTCTAGTGTAAAGATGAAAACCAAGTTTCAGATGAGAATTTAACCAATAAGGATGAGAGTCTGGAGGCTAAGGGTAGAAGGAATTCTCCATTTAATCTAGGTAGGATAGTGTATGTCATGAATTCGAAGACATTGCCATAGAGGGAGAAAGATCATGGATCTAAAATGAAAATGTTTTAGGGATGAGAGTGATAAAGTAGAAGCTTCTTTTGTTAAAAAATGTATATATCCGAGATCTCACATCATACTGTCAAAGCTGGTCTCAAACTCAACTGAAAAGATAATTCTGACTCAGCCACCCAAGAAGCAAGTACCTAAGACCACAAATGCAGGCCACCATGCTAAGCTTGTTTATTGATGTATTCTTAAAGGTTTATTTGTAAAATGATGTTAGCGTTTATGTGAACTACAGGCATGCAGAAGCCCACGGAAACCAAAAGAGGGTGATGAGAGTGGGATTGATGGTTGTGAGCCTTCATGCAGACAGAAAATATAACGTTTAAGTTTTTTTAAATTACTTTTTTACTTTGCTGTGTTGCTTCAGCTGTCGCACTCTGAAACTCAAGTAGTCCTAGTGCTTGGGCCTTCTATATAGCTAAGACCACAGGTGTGTAGCATTGAAGATGGCCTTCTTTGGAATTTTTAAATGTAGTGGCAAAATAGGAAATCAATTTGCAAAGTGGGAGAAACAAAGGGAAGCCAAAGACTTTGTAGTGTAAACAATTGAGGGGAGTAACAACCACTCTGATTAGAATTAAGGCCCACTCCATGAGAGGGATTCCATGTCTGCCACTGCCCAGGTGGCCAAGAACTTAAGACTGGATAGGCCATGGGCATAGGGGAAAATTCAATACTATTTTTCTAAAGAAATAAAACAATAAAGTGACTCCTAATGGCGTTCTGCTGTACTCATAGATCAATGTGTTATGCTCAGCCATCATCAGGGAACCATCTTGACAGGTGAGAACACAGAACCAACTGAACACTGCAGAAAGTGAGAGACTCTGGAACGTCTTCCTGAATGGATGTCTTCATTAAACCCCTCTCCTCAGTTCAGGGAGCTATGTGGAAAAGGAAGCTAACAGCCAGGGGATGAATGTCTCCAAGGAAATAGTGTCCTTCGGACACAATAGAACTGATGCACATAGGATAAGACAGGTACTGGCGTCCGGTTTCTGTTTCTGTGAAGAGACACCATGACCACAGCAACTCTTACAAAGGAAAACATTTAATTGGATGGCTTAAAGTCCCTAAGTTCAGTCCATTATCATCACGGTGCAACATGACGTGGGGTGGACATGGTACTGG